CTCAGGTGATTAGCCCGCCTTGGCCTCCCGAAGTGATGACATTAAGGGTATGAGTCACCGCGCCTGGCCTGGGCCTGATAAGTTTGGGCTCTGTGTCCCCCCACAAATCTCATCTCAAGTTGTGATCCTAAGTGTTGGAGGAGGGGCCTGGTAAGAGGTGGCTGGATCCTGGGGGCAGACTTCCCCCTTACTGTTCTTGTGATAGTGAGTTCTCAACAGATCTGGTTGTTTAAAAGTGTGTGGCACTTCCTCCTTCCTCGCTCTCTCTCCTGCTCTGTCATGTTAAGACATGCTTGCTTCCTCTTTGCCTTTGCTATGATTGTAAGTTTCCTGAGGCCTCCCAGCCATGCTTCCTGTACAGCTTGCAGAACTATGAGTCAATTGAATCTCTTTTCTTCATAAATTACCCAGTACCAGGTAGTTCTTTATAGAAGTCTGGGAACGGACTAATAGAGGGCCTTTGTCATGTCATTGCGATAATGGGCACAAGATTTCTCAGCAAAGGGTAATAATAGGGCTTAGAAACAGGGAATCAGCCAGGCACAGTGGGCTTATGCCTGTAATCCTCGCACTTTGGGAGGGTTAAGTGGGCGGATCACTTGAGCCCAGGAGTTTGAGACCAGCCTGGGCAACAAAGCAAGACCCTGTCTCTACAAAAATATTTTATAAATTAGCTTGGTATAGTGGCACACACCTGTGGTCCTAGCTACTCAGGAGGCTGAGGGAGGAGGATCCCTTGGGCCCAAGAGGTCAAGGCTGCAGTGAGCTGTGATTGCACTATTGCACTCTAGCCCTGGTGACAGAGGGAAACCCTGTTTCAAAACAAAAATACAGGAATCAAGTATCTGACCATGATACACAGATAGTTTCCTTCCCTCCTTTAAAACTCTCCAGAGCTACGCATTACCTAGATCAGGGCTTTTCTAATGGTAAAATGTACATACATTCCCTGGGGACACTGTTAAAATGTAGATTCTGCTTCAGAGAGGCTGGTGAGGCCTGAGTGTCTCCCCTGTCTTGCTTCTGCCACTCTCCACTCTCACCCTTTATCACTTCAGGATGCAGATTCATCTGTCTTGTTGCAGATGTTTTCCCAGAATCTGAAAGAATGTCTGAAATAGAACAGGCACCTGTTCTATTTCTCAATAACGAACTGTCAAATAAATGAATAAATTGATGTTGATTCTGAGTTTCTAGAAAACAGAAAAGAGTAGAAAGGGAACTCAGGGGCCAAGGGAGGCATTTGGAAGCGGTGGTTAGAGTAGTAATGGGAGAAAAGGCGCCTCCGCAACTGTTTGAAGTTAAAGATTTAGGTGACAGGGTATCAGATTTCAGCCTGAAGAAACAAAAACAAAAACAAACAAACAAAAATGAGGACGACCCAGAAACAAATGACTCTAACTGGCTCGAAAAGTCATACGTGAACACAACTATAAACAGCTGATTTTCTACAGTTTTCACTACATAAACACAGACAGACATGCACGCACGTGTGCACATACACAGGCACTGGGGGTTTCCTTTCCTCCACATCCCACTAATATCCGGCTTGTGACCTTGTCCTGCTGATATGGTAAAACTGGGATAAATTCAGATTCACACTCTTAGCTGCTCCAAAGTGGCTTCATCAATGAGTGCTCTTCTGTAAACTCGGGGAAGGAAGTGAATGTGTCTGCATGTGCAGCCAACAGAAATCTCAGCTGTCTGGTCTGGCATGAAAAGTCCCCCCGCCTTTAATGGGCTGGAAGGCCACCCCGGGGCTGGGCAGCTTGCCTCCAGCTGGGGTTGTTTTTGTTTTGGTTGCAAAGTCACCAAGACCTCCAGAGAAACAAAGCAACTGAGATTTTTTTGTCTTGTTTTGTTCTAATGAGTCAAACTTGCCAGGCACACAAAGCTGAAGTCTGCCATGACATTTTTATGCTTTCCCCACATGAAGCAAAGTTCTAGCCAACAGCTCCCTTCCTTCTCCCACATGAGCTAATATTCTGTAGCTCTCTAGCCATGACTCTGTTTATAACCCTGGGCTTTAAGACCAGTGAGGAAAACTGTGCTCATTACAAGACATGCTTTCCCATCAAATGTCACTTTTTTGTTTGTTTTTAGGAAGATATTTAGAAAATGAGGTAAAGAGAACTGCACTTTTTTCTCTGGCAGAGAACAAACATCTGGATTTTCCCTACATCTGATTTCAGTTTCATGACAAAACTGAGCATGTGACCTGGATCTATTTCAGGGGAAACTGCAAGAACCCAGGGTTTCACCCAAAAATGAGAAGTCCATGTATTTCTCTGTTTCTCATGACCACAGAGCGCTCCGAACCCTGCTGTTAGTGGCTCACTGGAATGAGGAGTCAGACCAGGAGGAACTGGAGAAATAAGGCTCTTTCTGTGCCAGGGCATGAGTCATTTCTAAGAGGGTGCCCTGGAGAACCAAGCTTGAGGTTTGCATGTTTTTCCCTATATGAGAGCAATCTTGAAAACCTTTCAAAAGGTCAGTGGAACTGACTTTGAGGGGCCCTCTGCATGATTGTGTGAGGTTTGGAAGGAAAGAGTTCAGGGGAAGCTGTGACGCAGCTCCTGGCTAGGGCTGTGGCAAACAGGGTGCCATTAGGAGTGCAGCGCGAGTCTCTGCCAGCCCGTTCATCACACCACATGCACAGTGCTCTCAGCCCAAGGGGCCCGCTGGGAGCTGACAGGAACACTGAGTTCATCCATCCAGGCCCATCCAGGGGGATTCCTGAGACTCACTCCACCTGGGGGCGTGGGCTATTTTAGCTGTCACTGTATGGACTAAATACCAGAAGAACCCTCAGCACTTTGGACCTGCTGCTTTCTCACTCAAACATTTCCACAGAAAAGTGACAGTAAGCTTGTTACTGAATCTAATTACAAGCCCAGTGTTTCCAGTGTGCGGGGTTTATGTGATACATTGTAAGTTCTACTACATGATTAGCCAAATCTTTTTACTTATTTTCTGTTACAGATGCTTGAATGCAGAGGTAGAAGCAATGGGAAAAACAGTGAAGTGGGTGGGGTGTTTTGAGTGGTCTGGAGTAAGATGAGATCTCCCCAAACCTTACGATCCATTTGCTATTGGCCTTTTTTCTTACAAAATTAATCTAGACTGGCCACAGTTCTGTGGAGGATGCTTTAGAACAGGGCGGCCATGTCCTACCAGAGCCATTATCTTCCCTTTGGTGAAATAAGGATGTCCATCATGTTTTCCCCCGGGGTTTTCTCAGGATGAGTTTCAAGATCTCCCAAACTCTAAATTAGCTTCCAGGTGCTCAGTTCCTGAACCCCTGTTTTCTAAAGTCCTTAATCAAAGCTAGAGTCAAATAGCAAATTTTCAGAGAACTTCTCATTGAAACCAAATGTTCCCAGCTGACATAATAGCCAATTCTAAGATCATCTCAGAGGTCTTCTGGAGCTCATTAAAGTGGGTGCCAAATCTCCAATGTAGCTTATTGAAAAGTCTTCCCAAAATGTCCAGAACTTTCCACGTCATGGATCTGTGTCCCTTGAGCAGGGACCTAGAATGGACATCAATGCTATAGATGCCTTATCAGACTGTGGTCACGCTTAAAGAGAAAGAAATCACAGAAGGCTACAGTGGCACCCCACTGGCCCCACACAGCACCACATTTTGCCAGACTTCTTAAATCTGATTTGGTAGGTAGAACCATTTGAAAGATCTTATGGAATCTGAAGTCTGCTGCAGACTGGATTTAGGATTAAGTGCAATGATGAGTCAGCTTCAAAGGTGACTGGAAAAAAAAAAAACGAATAGGGTTTCATGGACAACATACACATGTGGTCAGTGAAGCTGCCTGTTGCACATTGCATCTCTCACTCCCTCATCCACCCAACAAACACCTATCAGGTTCTGGCATGTGCCAGCCACTGTGCCCAGCACTGGGTATTCAATGTTGAACAACATAGTTCTTGACTCCCAAGATCAAATATACATTGGTAACACATTTCTGCCCCTATCATAACTCTCCATTCCTCACTTTGCCTGCCCAGGTCATGGTGACCTGGGTAAAGAGCCAAACCTGGAGAAAAAAATCATCCCAACAGCTGCGCAACTGGGATGATATGGCAGCCTCAAATCATATCTGCAAATCTGTTGATACCCTTCCCATCCAGAGGTTATGTTCTCTATCCCCTCCCATTGAATCTGGGCTGGGTCTTAGGAATGCATTTCTAAGCAATAGAAAGCCACAGAAGTGATGCTGTAGAACTTTCAAGATTAGATAAGAAAAAGTGATGTAGCTTCTACCTTGCTTGCTGGGACACTTGCTTTTGGAACCCTGAGCCATCATATAAGAAATCCAAATACCCTGCAGCCACCATGCTGACAGACAGCTCAGGCCACAAGGAAAAGCCCTGCACTGACATTCCAGTCAGAGGGCCTTGTGCGCAACGCCTTCCAGCCCAGGTGTCAAACATATGAGTAAATGAACCTTTGTATGATTCCAGCCCCAGGCTCCTGGTTTTCTCACCTGAGGCCTTGGACTTCATGGAGCAAAGGCAAGCCATCCCTACTATGCCCTTTCTAAATTCCTCACCTAGAGGATCCCAGGCCCTGGAGGAACAGGAATGCCTGCAGGCACCTGATGTCTCTCCTTTCTTCCTCAGATCCCTGGGATGGACAGTCAAATCTTATTGCTCTCCTTCTCCTGGGGGCCACTGATAGACTCGGAACCAACTGTAGAACCAGTATCCATTACCGAAAAGTAGGGAGTCAGGGACTCTTTCTGGCGAGCCCACACCCTTCATAATGTTAAGAACACAGACCCTGGGGACAAAGCCTGGCTCCATCACTTACTCTGAGATGACTCAAACTCCCAAACTTCAGCTTTTAATCTGTAAAATGGGGACAGCAGTATACACTTCATAAGGCTGTTGTCAGGATCACAATGAGGGAATCTATATAAAGTGCCTGGCATGTGGCAAATACTCAGTCTTCCCCAGGAAGAAGCATCTCTTATGACTTACCCCTTGTAAGACTTGAAAGCTGTCATTGCTGGGTGGTGGGTCTTGATCGGGGTCAACACCAACTCTGAAAGTCACCAGGGAGAAAGACAAAGAGAAAAACAGAGAGTATTAGCTTGGTCCATGGTAGCCATGCAGGCTGCAAGAAGCCCGGAGACTGACCATCTTCCCGAAGCAGAAGGAGTGATTAGCTAAAAGGAGAGGGAGGCTGTCATGCAGAAGTTGTGAGAAACAGGTCGCGTACCACTTCAGATCCCAGAGGGTCGGAGGGGCGATGAATCCCATGTGCTTCCACTCTAAGCAAGGGCTCTGGAACACAACACATGCTGGCAACTGTCCACTTGCTTTTCTGTACCAGGTGGTCCCAGTTATCAAAATGTGGGTCTCACTGCACTGGGCCCTTCCTCTATGCTGCTTCCTCGCTTCTGCCCTGGCCTGCTTTAATTCCCCTAACACAGGCGTCCCCAAACTACGGCCTGCGGGCCGCATGCAGCCTCCTGAGGCCATTTATCCGGCCCCCCGCCGTACTTCAGGAAGGGGTACCTCTTTCATTGGTGGTCAGTGAGAGGAGGACAGTATGTGGTGGCCCTCCAACGGTCTGAGGGACAGTGAACTGGCCCCCTGTGTAAAAAGTTTGGGGACGCCTGCCCTAACATTTTGTTATAAATTTTTTCAAGTATATGGGGAGAGAGATGCTGAAAGAATTTATAGTGAACCCCTATGTTCCTACCATCACTAGATTCTGCTGTTAACACTTTACAGTATATTCTTTATTACCTATCAATCCATTTCTCTATCACCCATTTTATTTTTTTTGGATGCATTCAGATGAAGTTGCAGACATCAGTACACTTCCCCTAAAAACTTCACATGCATATTGACAAATAATTCTCTCCTTGACCAAACTTTAGTCAGACTCTTAGGAATTCACTTCCCAACTAGGTACTGACTTTTGGGCTTCCATGTCCATCACAGCATAGCCCAATTGTAGCAAGAGTCTTGCTAAGTTCGTTTGGCCAGAACCCCCTGTCCCCAATATCTGATTGGGTTCTTCATACCCCACAATCTCTCAGGTGATGCATAATCCCCTTAGCCTGTCTTCAGCAAGAATCTTGTTAGGTCAGTTTAGCCAGAATCCCCCTTACCCCCTTACTCCATCCACTGACCCCGGTTTCTCTCCCCTGCTGCAAAACTCCATCACAGTGGTCCCTATACCAATCGTGATGGTCCTGAGCAATGTCTGCCTTACCTGTTTAATATATATCAGAATAATGTTTTCTTTAACAATATCATTAACTAGAGTCCTGATCTGCTCTTAATCCTGGTGCCCCTATATCCTCTTGCATCAAGATGGCCTTGAGGACTCACACATTTGAGAGCAACAATTAAAGACAGAAAGAAAAAGCCGGCCGGGCGCGGTGGCTCAAGCCTGTAATCCCAGCACTTTGGGAGGCCGAGGCGGGTGGATCACGAGGTCGAGAGATCGAGACCATCCTGGTCAACATGGTGAAACCCCGTCTCTACTAAAAATACAAAAAATTAGCTGGGCATGGTGGCACGTGCCTGTAATCCCAGCTACTCAGGAGGCTGAGACAGGAGAATTGCCTGAACCCAGGAGGCGGAGGTTGCGGTGAGCCGAGATCGTGCCATTGCACTCCAGCCTGGGTAACAAGAGCGAAACTCCGTCTCAAAAAAAAAAAAAAAAAAAGAAAAAGAAAAAGCCAAATGGCAAGACTCATTTATAACAAATACTGTAAAAGCACCAGGGCAGTTGTCTTGGCTTAGTAACATACTAACTGGCACTCTGTGCAGCTGGTAATTTTTTTTTTAAATCCTCGCACCTTCCTCATTCTGAGGCAGGAAACTGCCATGGATGACATGGATAACATTAGGCAATGGGGGAGAGAAAAAAAGATGTCAGGGAAATCCTACATCTGCCATGGAAGTTCCAACTTTCACTGCAGCCACCTGACAATCAACCAAGTCTGAAATGCAGCCCAAACTCCTGACAGCAGAGAGCCTGAAAAAAACCTCCCGGGCCCTCCCACAGACAGAGAAATGTGGGAAGGCCCTTGGGGTCTCTTGGAGGGCCTTGCTACTGGTGTTAAGTGCAGAACAGGAGATTTCTAAGAAAGGAAGCAAAGAGCTGCTTATCAGCTTGTTACTGCTAAACAACAACCAAACCCCCCCCCCCAAAAAACAAAAAAACAGATCAGGGTCATGAACAAATGATGTTCTGCAATTTTTTTCCCTTATTCAAGGTTGTTTACTTTAGGGCAATTTAGTAATTACTTTTCTGGCAGGGTTGAGGGCCTCTTGGACCAATCCCCAAGGATGACACGGGACCTTGTGGTTTCCTACAAAGAGCTCCACCCTTGGGGCAGAGCCCAAAACCAAACTGGTCTCTGGGAAGAGGAGGTAAAGCAATGGGTCAGGGTATTCTGGTGAGGAACTGGGCAGCAAGAAAGAACAGGCACAGGCTTTTTTTTTGAGAATTTTTTTGAGACAGAGTCTTGCTCTGTGGCCCAGGCTAGAGTGCAGTGGCGTGATCTTGGCTCACTGCAACCTCCATCTCCTGGGTTCAAGCGATTCTCCTGCCTCAAGCCTCCCAAGTAGCTGGGACTACATGCATGCGCCACCACACCTGGCTAATTTTTGTATTTTTAGTAGAGATGGGGTTTCACCATGTTGGCCAGGCTGGTCTCGAACTTCTGACCTCAGGTGATCCGCTCACCTCGGCCTCCCAAAGTGCTGGGATTACAGGCGTGAACCACCATGCCCATCCCAGGCACAGAATTTTTTTTTTTTTTTTTTTTGAGACGGAGTTTCGCTCTTGTTACCCAGGCTGGAGTGCAATGGCGTGATCTCGGCTCACTGCAACCTCCGCCTCCTGGGCTCAGGCAATTATCCTGTCTCAGCCTCCCGAGTAGCTGGGATTACAGGCACGCGCCACCATGCCCAGCTAATTTTTTGTATTTTTTTTTTTAGTAGAGACGGGGTTTCACCTTGTTGACCAGGATGGTCTCGATCTCTTGAACTCGTGATCCACCCGCCTCGGCCTCCTAAAGTGCTGGGATTACAGGCGTGAGCCACCGCGCCCGACCCCCAGGCACAGAATTTTAACTGCAGGTTTAAAGCCTCAGATGACTTGAGGGTCCCCCAACTTTCTGAAATTCCTAGTGGCAGGCTACTGTTCACTTTATGTATCTCTCTCCTGACACTGGAACTTTTTATGCTGTTTTATTATATCTTATTTTAGCATTCCCCTGATACATCAGGGCTAAGCTCATAAGAACACAAATGACAGTCTTTTCTTTCAGCACGGACACAATTATCTTTATTTCCATTATGAATTAGATAGATGTGGACATCCCACACTAAATGAAAAAATAAAGCAAGCAAACTGATATGCTCATTCTGGAATGAATAAATACCAAAAGCTGATAATTTCTCTGTTGGTATAACTTGTCAATTCTGATTAACAGATAAAATGCTGTGAAATCTTGGAAAGTTTAGAAGTATTCTACGTTAATCAATTTTTTAAAAAAGCCCCTGAATGGTCGAGGCTTTGAGTAATTTGAGGAATATGAGACATACATCTTCATATAACACCTTGAACATTATATCATAATCTGAATTTGCTCATGTCCCAAGTGTAATAACTCACACTTTGCCTGACGGACTTTCCTTCTTGAAGGCATGCTTTAAAGGAAAGGGTTTCCTCTGGAATTTAGCTGGTATCAAAGTCAGTCTCCAAAAACGAACATGTGTGTGTAGAAAAAAATCTGATTTCGGTAAGCTTAAATACTTAATTTCATGGGTGTCATTACAGTGTACATACAGGGCCTGGTGATATCCCAAGACCCATGTCCCACTGGTCTCACCACTGCCCGCAGGGAAGTGAAATAGTCTCACAGTGCCGAGAACAGAGTTGAAGCCTATTTTGCATTTGACGTATCTACCAGTACACATAATCAGATCAGGAAGAAAACATGCCAATTAGAGAAACAGGGAGAAAAGAAGAAACATTAAAGTTTGTACTCGGCTTGCCCAGACATCACCACCCTTAAGCATAGTTATATCGTAAACTTGGAAGGATACTAAGAAACAAACTGCACTAGAAGAATCTTTATCTTTTTGGTTAAATAAACATTCTTCATATCTTCTGATTGACCATGACAAGGCACAAGTACACAAATACGTAATTTGAAAAACTATAACAGCAGTGATATTTAATTAAGATGGTGTAAGCCTTACCGCAGTCATGGTTGAAATGTGAAAATTCTAGTTCTCTTTAGGAATTAAGAGTCTTATTTACCAGATCATAAGCAGGATTTTGTGGGAAAAGTGTGGCTCTGAAAATGAGCTGCTCTTAACACTAAGCCCAGTTGTACAAAAAGGAGACACTTGACAACTCAAGCTTTGTGTTGGCAACACATTGTCCAACATGCGGGGAAAGCAGAGAGAATCCCAAGAACACTGACACATCAATCAACCCAGAGGAAGGGTGGGAAAAAATGATTAGAACTGACTTAAACTTTTTGCCCCTTTACTAAAAGGGGTGGAGGTTGGCACATACAGGAAGAGTAAAACAGTGTAAAGAGAAATATCTGCGGTTAGAAAGAAGAGAAAAGCCAGGCCCAGTTAATTTTTTCTGAGGATGCCCTTGTGTCACCTGAAGTACTGCCAGTGGTGTTCGTTCTGGTCCTCTTCGGAGGGCTCCTCGACGCCAACTCTGGGCAGCAGAAGAAGGGAATGTGAGTGTGATGGGGACAACAGGAGAGCTGGGAGCTCTGGGCACATGATCTGGACCATGTCCATGAGGGAGTATTTCTCACTTTCAATAAATGCATATCCTCTCTTAAACCGTCCCTGTCCTCTAAAACCCAGAGAGGCTGAGAGGCCACTAGATTCAAATTTAAAGTAACAATGTTAGGAGCCAGGTCAAATGAGGATTGATCAGGAATGTGGATGAGCCTCTCAAAATATAATGTAAAATAAAATCAGAGGATGAAATACACCTCATAGAAAATAAATTTCTGTAATTTTTTCAGAAATTCATCTGTTTTATAAAGCAAGATACAAAAAATAGAAAAAAGGACATTGTTGCTTAAATATGTTATATATATTTAAAGTGTTTACACATATTTTTACACATATTTGACAGAAAGAACAAAAAGCATGATATGATTGAAAAACAGCAACAAGTTACTTAAGAAGACAAAGATGACCTTTTTTTTTACCCAGACAAGCAAACCATGTTGTACACAGGATCAACCTGAAAGTCAGGAACCCAACTTCTGCTATTCTCTTTACCTTGTAGCTTTTGAGTTGGCATGGTCCACCTTCATCTTCCTTAATTTCTGGGTTACTCAGAGTACATTTGAATCTTACCATCATGTTGGAACAGGGTTTCGTAAACTTGGCAGCATTGACATTTTGGGTCAGGGAATTCTCTGTTGTGGTGAGTCATAACAGTGCATTGGAAGAGGTTTAACAGAGTCTCTGGCTTTCACCTACAAGATACTAGTAGCAACCCTATCCACCAAGAAGCTGAGGTTTTAACCTCTTCCTCTGGTTGTGGTCAACTAAAAACATCTCCAGATACTGCCAAATGTCCCCGGGGTGGGGGGGCAAAATTGCCCTCAGTTGAGAACCACTACACTAAACCACGTATTCTTAATGGAAGCAGTATCACCCTCATGGGTATAAAAATTGGTTCTTAAGGCCGGGTGCGGTGACTCACGCCTGTAATCCTAGCACTTTGGGAGGCTGAGGCAGGCAGATCACGAGGTCAGGAGTTCAAGAACAGCCTGACCAACATGGAGAAACCCCATCTCCACTAAAAATACAAAAATTAGCTGGACATGGTGGCATGTGCCTGTAATCCCAGCTACTCAGAAGGCTGAGGCAGGATAACGGCTTGAACCCGGGAGGCGGAGATTGCAGTGAGCAAAGATTGTGCCACTGCACTCCAACCTGGGCAACAGAGCAAGACTGTCTCAAAAAAAAAAAATTGGTTCTTGTAGGTAAAAAAAAAAAAACCTTAGATATTATGATGGTTTGTTGTCCTCCAAAGTTCCACAGCACAGACAGAGATGTATAGTAGATCTGTAGCATTAACATTTCACTGGGGGAGGTAACTGGGGAAAAAGTTTTTAAAGGCTCCTCAGCAGGGGCAATAATGAAGAAAAAGACTGAAAACTATTTCACTAGACAATGCCCAAATTCTTATGTCGCGAATATCCCCTGATGTCTACAAGTGAGGACATGCTTCTTAAGGTGGTACTTTTAATTAGTTACATGTTCAGAATGTGACTTAAATCAGACTCTATTACTACAGCATTGAAAAATTATAGCAAACACCAGAAAAACAACCCAGATTCCTTAATGTAAGATTCATTGTCTCTTGAGTAATAGTATTAATAATAGTAGCAGCTGTAATGCTATGACTAATACTATTAATATAATAACAGCTAAAATATACTAAGTGCTTATATGTCAGATGGTACACTGATAAGAGAATTCTTCATCACATTTATTTATTACCACATTTTATCCTCACACTATGACTGCCCCCATTAGTTGGTGAGGAAACTGAGGGTTACGGGTGAAATAAGTTGCCCAAGGTCATAGAGGTAGAAATGCTACAGCCAAGATTCCAACTCAAGCTGCTAGACTCCAGAGCCTCAGCGTTTCCTCTTATAGGATACTGCCTTTGATTACAAGGAGGCATCTTGAAAGTCTTTTAAAATATCCAGTTGCAAATGCCATTACATAAAGAGCTCAGAGCTTTTCCCTTCCTTTATTCTTTACGTTATCTTGCAAAGAGCTTTATTATAAATTCTCAGTCTAATAGATTATACCAAGTAGAGCATTCTTACTTGTCTTTGAATGATTATATTACTACCCTCTGAAGTGTGAAGATTACAGTTCATTTGGCCACCTGGGTGTATGTCGTTTCACTGCCCCCCACCATCACCACCATTTTGTGTGTGTTACTTGAAGCTGAGGGCTCCAAGAAGACAGTCATCATGTTGTCACAATGTGGTCAGGACACACATAAGGCTCATCAGCCGAAATAATCACACAATCATTTTTTAAGTTGCCAAAATTACGTCCTTTGTCAATAACAATTCTTACTCAAGAGACTAAGGAAAATATTGTGTTTTGACAGAAAGCAATTTGCACATTTTGGCATTATGTTTTAAAATATCAACCACAAAACATGAATTTAAAAAGATAAATTGGATTTATGGAAAGCAGTGACCTGGATTTGGATTTATAGTTATATTCATTTTTATATTATACACAGACTTGAAATTAGCCATAGTTAGGAAGCACACCTAACTCCTATTTACAGTGAACTCCAAGAATCACCCTGGGCTTCTGACTTCTGAGCAGCTACTTAACAGCTTGTCGGGGCCTCTATCAGCCTGGAGAAGTAAGGAACGAGTAGGTACTGATCATATCGAAGTCACAGAGGTCAAAATACCAGACTGAATTTCAGGGGGTTTCTGAATCAATTTAGAAGAAGAACCTTGGTTACAGAAATGATTCATGGCTATTAAGTAACACCACAAACCACAAGTCAGAAAAATCAATCTGTTTTATTATCTTAATTCAGAGGGAATTTCTTTTGATGTAATCTCTGTAAATGTCAGTTTCTATACTTACATAATCATTATTTATACACATCTGGAAAAATGCAATGAACTGACACCATATGTACTTTTCAGTAATCGCATACTTTGCTTCGTTATGCTGCCTGGATAGAGTCAGACAGAAGGAATGAAATAATAAAGACAGAAACAGAAATAAATTAAAATGAAATTAGAAAACTAATACAGTTCTATCACTGGTTGCTATCAAGGTGAAAAAAAAAAGAAAAAAAAAAGAAAATCAATGAAATAAATAGCTGGTTTTTTGGAAAAGATCAATAAAATTGGCAAATGTCTAGCAAGACTGACCAAAAACGGAGAAGATATGTCAAAAATGGGATATCACTATAGACCTCACAGACATAAAAAAGATAACAAGGGAGTGCTACAAACAATATAAACTTGACAACTTAAATGAAATTGACCAATTTCACAAACTACCACCACCCAATATGAAATAGGTCATCTGAAAAGCCCTATAACTAATAAAGAAATTGGCTTCATAATTGAAAACCTCCCAAAAAAGAAGTTTCCAGACCCAGATGGTTTCACTGGAGAATTCTACTGAAAGTTTAATGAAAATAATTAACACCAACGCTACACAATCTCTTCCAGAAAACAAAAGAGTAGGGAACATGTCCAACTCATTTTATGAGGCCAGATTACTCTGATACCAAAACCAGACAAAAGCAGTACAAAAACAAAGAGAACTGTTGACCAATATCCCTCATGAATACAGACATAAAAATCCTAAACAAAATGTTTGCTCATAGAATTCAGCAATATGTAAAAGAATAATATACCACATCAAGTGGGGTTTATTTCAAAAAAACAAGTCTGGTTCAATATTTGAAAAGCAATCAATATAATTCACTATATTAATAGGCTAAACAAGAGAAATCATATGATCATATCAATTGATACAGAAAAAATATTTGACAAAATTCAATACCTGTTAATGAAAAAAAATTCTTTTCTACTACAAGGACACGTGCACACGAATGTTCATTGCAGCACTGTTTACAATAGCAAAGACCTGGAACCAACCCAAATGCCCAACGATGATAGACTGGATAGGGAAAATGTGGTACATATACACCATGGAATATTATGCAGCCATCAAAAACGATGAGTTCACGTCCTTTGTAGGGACATGGATGAACCTGGAAACCATCATTCTCAGCAAACTGACACAAGAGCAGAAAATCAAACACCATATATTCTCGCTCATAGGCGGGTGTTGAACAATGAGAACACATGGACACAGGGAGGGGAGCACTACACACTGGGGTCCATTGGGGGGAAATGGGGGAGGGGCGGGGGGTGGGGAGGTGGGAAGAGATAGCATGGGGAGAAATGACAGATACAGGTGAGGGGACAGAAGGCAGCAAAGCACACTGCCATGTGTGTACCTATGCAACAATCTTGCATGTTCATCACATGTACCCCAAAACCTAAAATGCAATTAAAAAAAAAATTCTTAAAAAACTAGCAATAGATAGGAATTTCCTCAACTTATTGATAAACATCTACAAAACCCTATAGCTAATATACTCAATAGTGAAAGACTGAATCATGTACCACTACAAGATTATGAGGCCAGCAATAGTGTGACACCCCAAATGGTTGTACTGGATGCAGGGCGTTACCAGAAGCTAAGGGTCGGGAGTCCAGGATTCTCTCATTTCAACTCTTCTAATCAGGAACAAAGATCAAACACACCCATTGGTGATTACCCATCTAGGGCGAACATTTCAGGCCAAAACAGCAGTGTTTGGGGAAGAGGGATTACCCGCTTACTAGAGAGCATCTCCAATTCCTCCAGCAATATCCACAAATTCTCCAACTGTGAGACTTCACTCTCACCTTACATGTCCCAAAAAGATGGATACAAATCTTTCTCTTCCTTATCTTAATGATGGTACTTTTTTCAATTTCTGAAAAAAATTACAGGCCCAACTTCCCTTCTACCTACAGTCATATTAAACAGATCACATCAATGATAAATGTCACTACTATAAAAACGACTTAATTTGTAAGGAAATTGTTCCACAGATTTAAAAAAAAGTGGTGGTTGGAGAGCATCTTGGCATTTTTGCTTTTTTTCTTGAGGAATTGTTCTGCTTCCTGACTGTATGATGGGTGTATCATTAAAGTCTGAAGTCCTATGTGCACAAACAAACAAACAAACAAACAAACAAACAAAAAAAACCAAAAAGAATGAAAAAGCTAAAACAGAAAACATAGTGGACAAGGTTGGTCTAGAACAGGCGTCCCCAGACTTTTTACACAGGGGGCCAGTTCACTGTCCCTCAGACCGTTGGAGGGCCGCCACATACTGTGCTCCTCTCACTGACCACCAATGAAAGAGGCACCCCTTCCTGAAGTGCGACGGGCGGCGGTGGGGGGGGGGCAGATAAATGGCCTCAGGGGGCTGCATGCAGCCCGCGGGCCATAGTTTGGGGACGCCTGGTCTAGAACATGCCATCCTAACTGGCTATGGAAGAAATTTATTATGAGCAGTATCTCAGTCTCACACTCACTAAATTCTAGGGTAGTTCAATCAGGAAGATGTTTACCGTGGTTTAGTGCACTGAGCCTTGCACCCTTCCCCTGGCTGCCAGGGAGGCAGAAAGGTACATACATTCCTAATGCCCAGCCAGTCTGTTCTCCCTATTGAGTCCCTGGATTGCCTGCAGAGACCTGGGGAAATTGTCTCCCTATCTTCAACTGAGAGTCTAGAATCCGAATCCTAGATCAATCTACTGAGGAATGCTCAAGACGATGGATCAGAAACAAGGTGAGGATGTCCATTTATACCACTCTTATTCTACATAGTAGTGAAAATCCTAACCAGAGCAATAAGGTAAGAAAAGGAAACAAAAGGCACACTGGTTGAAAAGGAAGAAAACAAACTGTTGCGATTTACAAATAACATGATGGTCTGTATGGTCTATGTAGAAAATTCCAAAGAATCTACCAAAAAAAAAAAAAAAAAAAAAAAAAAAAAAAAAAAAAAAAAAAAAGCAAAAGAAGGACCAAAACCCTTTCAGAACTAAAGAACTAATAAGTGAGTTCAGCAGTAAGGTGACAGGATGCAAGTTCCAACAAAACATGTACAGGCCTTATATGCTGAAAACTGCAAAAATCAAAAGAAATCAAAGAAGGTATAAATAGATGGAGAAATACCTCATGTTCGTGGATTGGAAGATTTAACATAATAAAGATGTCAATCTCCCCAAAAATTGTTGTAAAGCTTTAACATAATTTCTACAAAGGACCCAGCAAGTTTTTTTATATGTAGACAAATTTATTCTAAAATTTATATGGAAAGGACCTAGAATAGCCACAATAAAGTGGGAGGAATCACTCTAACTGATGCTAAGGTTTACTGTATAAGTATAGTTATCAAGACAGTATGGTCTTGGAAGGATAGACACAATAGAGAAGTGCAGAAAGAGACCCCTGTGCATACAGACAACTGATTTTTGACAAAGGAGCAAAATTAATTCAGTGGAGTAAGGATAGTCTTTGTAACGTATTGTACTAGAACAACTGGATAGCCACTGGCAAATAAAACCTGAACCTAAACCTCACATCTTATACAAAAATTATCTCAAAATGGATCATAGACTTAAATGTACAGTGTAAAACTAAAAAGCTTTTAGAAGATAATGCAGAAGAAAATCTTCAGGATCTAAGGCTTGGTGGAGTCCTTAGACATGACACCAAATGCATGGCCCATAAAAGAAAAAAAAATGATAAATTATACTTCATCAGAATTAAAACCTCTGCTCTATGAAAGACCCTTTTAAAAGAATTAAAAGAAAAGTTACACACTGGGAAAAAATATTTGCAAACCATGTATCTGACAAAAGACTACAGTCTAGAATAAAGAACTCTAAAAATTCAACAAAGAAACAATCCAATTTAAAAATAGACAAAAGACTTGAACAGATATTTCACCAAAGAAGACATATGAATGGTAAATAAACATATGAAGTGATGTTCAACATCATTATCTATGAGAGAAATGCAAATTAAGACCACAATGAGATGTTCCGACATATCTATTGGAACAGCTGAAATGAAAAACACTGAGAATACCAAATGCTGGGGAGGATGCTGAGGAACTGGATTGCTCATACACTGCTGGTGGAAATGTACAATGGTACAGCCACTCTGGAAAACAGTTGGCAGTTTCTTATAAAACTAAAGACATGTTTACTACCCAACCCAGAAGGCACACTCCTGGGTGTCTCTCTTGGAGAGGTGAAAGCTTATGCCCATACAAAAATCTATACAGGAATATTCATAGTGGCTTTATTTATAATAGCCCAAAAACTTGAAACGATCCAAATGTTCTTCAAGGGGTAAATGGTTAAATAAACTCTGGTACATCCAGCGTTTGGCTGGAGTCACGTATTAAGCAGCACCTACGTGGATCTCCAAGGCAGTTACAAGAACAAAATGTCAAAAGTCAACTCTCTACTCTCAATGGAAAATTATTTGGTCCCATATATGTTGGAGGGAGGGGGAGAAAAGAATTTATAAAATACCATGAAAAACAAACATGATTTATGAGGCTCTGAGCATCCAGAGCATCTACCAGGTGACCAGACAAACAGGAGCAGGAAGCAATCTCAGAGGTCACCAAACACGAAGATTCTCAACTGTGTGCAGGGTATATCTTTTTTCTTGCCCTAATTCTGCTACATAGAACAAAGATGGTACCATCTTACGTCTTAAGGTAAGAGACTAAATTTTCTTCAGGTTTATATTCTCAAAGATGGATTCTTTTCCCTTAATCCAACGCTTGAGATTCGTGCCAGGAAATTGAAATTCTAACCTTCCCATTTATAACTCTTCTTACAGGCAGTATAGCACAGTGGTTAAGAGTGTGGACTCTGTGGTATGAGTGCCTAGGTTCAAATCTTAGCTCGTCCACTTAAAGCTCTGTGACCTTGGGCAAATTACTGCTTTGTGCCTCAGTTTCTCCAACTCTAAAATGGAGATAATAGTCCTATCTCCCTTATAAGAATGTTATGAGAAATACCTTAATATATGCATAGTATGTTGAACAATGCCTGCCACATAAGTATTACTTATCATTATGACTAACGCTGATAAATTCCATATTAGTTCTGCAGACCCACCTGGATCTCAGGCAGATACACGAGCCCAGAAATGGTGAAGTTGTCAGTGGCAGTGGCAGTGGCTAGCAATAGAAGTGGCAGCCCAGGAATCTCTACCTAACATTGATACAAAAAAACCCAGATACAGGAGACGATTCTCTCAAATTTTAGTTTTTTCCCCCAACTCCAAGGATGACTGGGAGATCTCTGTTCATTTTCTCTCCTCCAAGCTATGTACGCTCTGCAGCTGTCTCGGGCATTCTACAATCTCGAGAAGAGAATACAAACTAAAAAAAGGCAGCAGACAAAGAAAAACCATTGCCACCTTGTGGCTTTTCGGAGAATTTTTCTTCACACCTTTGCACTCCCCAGGTGTCTTCTTGTTCTAGAACATGGTCACTCTCCGCAGACCAGAAATTGTGGCAGGTGGCCGGAGCACATCCAGTGATGTGCAGCACAACACTTAGAGCTGAAGCGCCCTTGAGATCGCCTGGCAGAGCATCCTCACTTAACGCAGAGGAAAACTGAGGCCCAAAGACATGCGGGGCTTGTCTTCAACCCAAGCCAGCGTTGGGCTGTGGGTCTCTTGAACCCTGTTTCCAATGACCTCTTTACCATAAGATGCTGGAGCTCACAAACACAATTTGGAACTCAAATGCTCTTGAAAAAGTCAAACTTGTATCAATGCTCCTCTGTCCTGACACAGCTATGAAGCCACGGGCAGAGGATGTCCATGAAACCGCAACAGATGAGGGTTACACAGGAAATGTTACCTCTTCTGTGCACTCAAGCAAGAGGAGACAGCATATAGCTTCGCGCTAAAATAAAACTAAAATAAAACTCTAATTGCCTCTATTTCTGGCTGGTGAGCTTATTCTTCAGGCTCTGGATTTCATTTCAAAGGAACATAAAATACTGGACTCTGCCAGGGGCTCTTGGTCTATTTTCTCTCCCACAGCTTTGAGACTTTTTAAATTCTTGCTCTAATGTCACTGTTCTAGCAAGATCCAGGCACTTCTCATTCTTTGTATGTTTGTACTGACAACAATTTTAATGACTACATTTTTTTTTTCTCCTGGAAAACTCCATACTCTAAACTTTTACTTACTGTTTTTAAAACAATTTTTAATCCCCCCTCACAAACAAAACAAAAGGCTGTAAAAAGCTTCCATGAACTAAAGCCGCAGCATATCGTGCACAGGGTATTGAACATTCTCAAGAACAGTGACAGCTGACATACTCAGACAGAATTAGCCTTGGTTCCAAACCAACCTGATGTTAAGCCATGACAACATGGGTGTCGTGCCTCCTCCAATGATCCAGACAGTGAAGAACACGATGAGAAGGGTGGTCGTGAACATCATCTGGCGAGCATAGGATGCCGTGTCACGGATGGCCAACGCAAATGCCATTGCTCCCCGGAGGCCTGCGGGGACCAAAGAGGAAGATCTGCTTATAAGGATTAAATGACAATATTGTCTCAAAATCCACTGCTGCCATTTGGAGCCAATAAACTCGATTCGTTTATGCTTCAGGGGCCAAGTTGTTTTATTCGGAAAGGAGGACCTTAAAGGCACAATTTTCTTTTCTTTGATGTTGTCTTTTGCAAAACTCCCCGATACAATGAGAAAAGCATTGCACTGCTTTGTACAGCACGGTTTTTAGAATAATAACACTCTTATTACTTAAATGATTCTCCTGCTAGTAACATGAAGTAAAAATAAACATAAATAAGTAATAATATAAGCTAAAACTGTGATCCCAGCAAAACCCAAGCACTATACATACAGTCAATGTGGAAAAAAAAAAAAAAAAAAAAGAAAAGAAAACAAAACAGGCTAGGTACTAGTATGTCAAATTTGTAAAAAATAGTTCAACATTTCCTTAGCAAAAGGGGAAGCCACACAGAGAAGTGAAAATATAACCCAATTTATATCAGGGGTGGGGAACTCTTTCTGTAGCCGGCCAGATATGAAAGATTTTAGGTTTTGTGGGCCAAGAGGCAAAATCAAGAATATTATGTGGGCACTTAGATCTTAGAGACAAACATTTCCACAAACTTTTATTACAAAAGTCAATAATAATAATTGTGGCCACTTTGTTGTAATACAGGTCTACTAATGAAAAGAGGGAAATTCTTTTTTGGAGGGGATACTTTGCTCAACTGCTGTTTCAAAGTCAATGTTCTCTACCATCAAATAGAGTGTAAATATTCATCTATATACGGCATTCTTAGTTTGTGGGCTATGTAAAGACAGGCAGTGGCCAGAGGTGGCCCAGGGGTTGTAGTCTGCTGATCCCTGATCTGCATTAATGGATTTTAAGAGAAACACCATCAGTTTAATGTTTTGGAGTTCATCTTTCTAAGCTCTTTTGTTTCTTTTCCATAGCATGCTCATAATTTATTTTGTAGTAAAGACTGAATCTGGCTGGGTACGGTGGCTCACATCTATAATCCCAGCATTTTGGGAGGCCAAGGTGGGTGGATCACCTGAGGTCAGGAGTTCGAGACCAGCCTGGCCAACATGGTGAAATCCCATCTCTACCAAAAATTAGCCGGGCATGATGGCATGTGCCTGTAGTCCCCTGCTACTTGGGAGGCTGAGGTGGGAGAATCACTTGCATCCTGGAGGTGGAGGTTGCAGTGAGCTGGCATGGTGCCACTGCACTCCAGCCTGGAGGACAGAGCAAGACTGTCTCAAAAAAAAAAAAAAAAAAAAGGCTAAATCTATACTCTTTTGTATGTATCTAGTGTGACTTTTTATTCACCATGGGTAAGATTGTGTGCATAACATGCGAGAGAATAAAAAGTTAGACCTACTCATCTGTTCGTACACTTTTCTACTTTCCCAATTTCACCATTATTAACATCTGTGATCTGAGTGCTTCACTACAATTCACTAAAGAAGAGTGACATCTATAAAAGTTACACTGAATGCAAAGTTGATGTTTTCTATTAATCTGTCCTAGTGAAATATTTGTGTATATCTAGGTCACCCTACAGCCAGCCAGCTATGTCACTGGTCAACATTTAAGCCTCTCAAGGGATGCTGACTCAAAGCAGAAAACTTGGGCATCAGAGACAGACCACAGATAATACATTTTTCTGGTTCATTAGGTAAGCATGGTAAGAAATATTAAAGTGAAACCTCAGGTATGTCATAGCCTTGATGAATGAGTTCCTTTAGATAGGCAGATTTCTCCCAGCATAAAATACTTTTTATTGGAGATATCATTAAACAGCACTGTGTACTTCTCAGCCTTTTAGTACAGAAGCCAATGAGCATACTTAAGTTGACCTAGATGATAGGGTTAGCTCCAACTCATCTTTCTCTTGTCCACTGGCATACTCCTAATATGTACATAAAAGCTTATCTGCCCAATGGGCAGCCACAGCTTCCATGGCTTTACGCATGGTCTCTTCATCCTCCAGGAACTGCATGCATCTGATGGGCTTTGAGTTCTTGTCCAATTCATAGACCATAGGAATAGTAGCTGGCAGGTTCTGCTCTGCAGAGACCCTCCAGATGCTTGACAATGCCAGGGAGGCTGTTGCCATGAGCTGTAATCAGTACCTATTTCCCGTCCTTGATCTGGGGAACTATTTCTTCATTCCAAAGGGACAGAGCTCTGGCAGATGTGTCCTTTAGACTCTCACAAGAGGGTAGCTGATCTTCAGTGAGGTCTACATGCCTGCGATCTTTACTGACACTGCCGTAGAAGGGATAACTGGGCTCCATAGGAGGTGAGTATCGCAGGAATGCCTCCAGATCTTTACTGTGCTTGGCAGCAGTTTCTGCTTTATGGAGGTCAGTCAGACCCCCAGAGTGCCACTCATTAAGGTGCCAAGTCCTCACTACAGGCAGCCACATCAGGTCGGTGGCATCCAGCACTATCCAGAGCGTCCGTATTGCTCTCTTCTGCACTGAGATGAAGCAGATATCGAACTTACAGCCAGCATCTTGCAGTGCCTGTCACCTGCACTTGCCTCCCTGTGGCCCCTGGGCTCAGGGCGGTGATGTACCAGCTGCTGAAGCAGTTCTCCAGGTTCCAGGCACTCTCGTCGTGCCAGATCAACAGTTTGTAGGTGGCAGTGGTGGTCAGTCTCACCCTCTTTCTGCATTACTCCACGTATCTGACATTTAAACCAGACTGCTGCCCTTCCCTGAATCAGCCAGGCATGCCAATGCTTTTCTGCCTTCCCAAACTGCTGCCTCCTGAAGTTCCATTCTTCCAAACCTGGCTCAAAGGCCACTCCCTTTGCAAAGATGGCTCTGAGCCATTCTCTTCTTGTCCACATTTCTTTCAAACCTCTTTTGTGCAATTCACCAACCTCTCCTGGAAGAAAATTAACTCTTTGTATACCTGCCTCCCTGCAGCAGACTGTTAGCTCTATGAAGGAGGCTGGTCTTTGCATCCTCCACAACCTAGAGTTGTGGCTTATGAAAAGAGGATGCTCAACAAGTCCTTGTCAGAGTGAAAGGAAATCATCTTAGAGGAGCATACCTGTATCTAAGTTCAGAGGCAAGCTAGCAGGAGACAAAATGACTGCTTTACTGAGCAGTGCCTGTTGGTTTGATCTCAGTACGACTCTGTGAGGCCCCTAAGAACCACCTCGTGGCAGTAAAGGTAGCTGCAACTCACTCTCTGTCTTAAAAGGACAGAGGTACCTTTAAGGGTCACAGTCGCCTTGGCTGGGCATGGTGGCTCACGCCTGTAATCCCAGCACTTTGGGAGGCTGAGGTGGGCAGATCATGAGGTCAAGAGATCAAGATCATCTTGGCCAACAGGGTGAAACCCCATCTCTACTAAAAATACAAAAATTAGCTGGGTGTGGTGGCACGCGCCTGTAGTCCCAGCTACTCAGGAGGCTGAGGCAGGAAAATCACTTGAACCTGGGGAGCGGAGGTTGCAGTGAGCTGAGTTCATGCCACTGCACTCCAGCCTGGCAACAGAGCAAGACTCTGTCTCAAAAAAAAAAAAAAAAGGGTCACAGTAGCCTTTTGCAACTAACTTCTCTCCGCTCTGTTCTGCAGAAATGCTCTAACTTGGGTCTCGTTTATCTAAAGCTGACGCTTACCACCCTCACTGCATCATCCACTCATGCCTGTTGCTCTCTCCTTTCTCTACTTCCACAGTTTTCTTTATTGTCCTTTGTCCCCTCAGTGATTTCTCCAGACTTCTCAGCTTTACAGGGAAAGGGGGGGGGGCATGTGGGAGAGTGTCAATGAAGCAGGATGATCACAGCTGTTAAGTCCCAGTGTTGGGTTCCTCTTGCTTACATCAGTGTATTTTATTTCTTTTGTTCCAACACAACGTTAGAGCTGAGGGACCTCAGCTAATTAGTTCAATTTCATCATTTTACAAGAGAGGATACTGCAGCTGGGAGGTGTTGAGTGACTTGGCCAGTGTTCTTTCTCATCAGGAGCTCTTTTCCTTCTAATTCTAGATCTGGTGCCCTTTGGGAAGCTTAAGGATTATGAAGATCTACTAGAAAACAATCAAGCACTTTAAATACTGTATCTTCAGGTCCCTTGAGTGGTAGTGATGAAATAAAAATGCAAATATTTTAGGGGAGAACGTTCACATTTGGTAGTACGGTTTGTAAAATCAACACTAACTCAACTGAACATGTACATCTATCTATTCCACACTGCAGGGGATACAAATGGACCAGAAACTTGAATGCTTGTCTTTTTATGAACCTTATCAATTGTATTTTAATCATATTCTTGTTATCTGCTTTAAAACTTACTTTCTTTTCATTTATGCCTTTTTACCTGAAAACATCATCATGTGTTGAAAATTCCAGCCAATCTTATGCCTTCTGCCCAAGTTGAGGAAAAAGGAGAGCGGGTAGATGTGTGCGGCTCTGCCCAGGAAGATGGCAACCTGACCACAAGGTGGAGGTTAAGGGCCCAACAGTTTGCAGAATGGCATTCCTCACAACATCCAGCTGAGCATTTTAGGAATGCCGTGACATCTCATTATAGTCCAGAGCACTGTGCAAAGAAGTCCGGCTGTCTAGTTTCCCTTTAGGTAAGTTTCTCAGCAACAAAATGGGACTCATTTGGCCAACCTTCCCCACCTCCTGATTCATAGAGATCATTTCTAGCCTGTTATACACACTGTTGTAACTTCTTGATTTAATTCAACTGGCATCTATCTATCTATCTATCTATCTATCTATCTATCTATCTATCTAAATCTATCTAAAACAGAGCCCAGAAATAAGCTAAAGTATCACGGCACGAGGGCGCAGTTGAGAGAAGTAAACAGTGTGTGTTGGTCTCTACTAAAAGAAAAAAGAACTAGAAAGAAAAATTGCTAATCCTGTAGTCAAACTATAAAGAAAAAGTTTGCTGGATAAGCACTCGCAGGCTTCATTGGCAAGTAAACATCAGAGATTTTAATGGCTAGGAAGAGCCTGCAAATAAAAGGTGGGGAAACTTAAAATATTCATAACACTAAAAGACATTCAGATCACTCACAAGAATTAATGCAGGAGATATTTCTCTACCTAAGTAGCTAAAATGTCTTTTGGAGATGTAAGAAAGTGTGGAAAAAGGAACTCTACTGTGGAAACCAAAGAATTCAGGGAAACTGGTCCTTTGTCACTTGCTGAGTTTAGAATAGTACAACTGAGAAAGCTTCACACTCCCCTGGTCAAAGAAGGGAACCCCTGTGGGAGCCAGAGGAACAGGGAGCTTCCGTTTTGGCAAAACACCAGCTGCAGGAACTGCAGCTGTTTCAGACAGAAGCCAGGGCGGAACTATCTTCTCTGTCTCCTGCAGGGTAAAGCATTGCCTGTTTTTCTTCCGTTTTCTTTCTGTTTTGTTTTAAGCATAAGGAACCAGGTAGCGCTTATAATGCACATTCTATCCCAGAAGAGAAGCAAAAGTCCTTAAGTGGTAAGCAGCCCTTAGGATCTGCAGAGGACCCGGCTTGGCCTCCGCCAGGTCCTCATCTGTAAACAGGGCTGTGCTCCCCCTGTCTCTCACAGGGTGTCATGCTAGGAATACAAATCAAAACAACATGCAAGGTCTTTTTCAAAACAGAATAAAAACACTGATCTTACAGATTTTTAGCTATTAGTCTGGTAAGCATGGAAATCCAAGAAATGAGCCATTAGTTTAAGCATAGGAGGCTCTCACGAGGATTCCAGCATTGCATTAGGCCAGTGTCACTGTCCAGCAGTTTGGTGAGGGTTGGTCATTCATGCACAATAAATTAAGCCCAGAAGAGAAAAACACTCCTTTTTTTGCCAGCATTCCAAAACATAAGAATAATCATGAGTCCTCAAAAAAGGCAAATGGGAATGTCCAGCAATAGGGGACTGTGCTCAGTATCTTGAAATCAAGCCCCAGAAAAGTTTGCTTTAATAAAAACAGTACCTGAGGCCAAGTGAGCAAAACCCTCAGCTGTCCATCCACTGCTAGGCACACGAGAGAAGCCAATCCCCCAAACTATGTCTCTTTTCCAGAAACTGCATTTACAACGGGCCCAGACCAAGGAAACAAGTATTTTTCTATTACATATTTTCTTTCCCTCATTTTTCTTTTTCCTCTTCCTCTCTTTGGCGGGGCTGGGGAAGAGTCTTTTCTACCATGATCTGCATGCAGCAGCAGGGCAGCTTGGTAAAGGGCAGCTTGATAAAAAGTAGGGGCACTGCCTGCAAGCATCCCCGGGCAGTGTGAGGAAGGGCTGCTCACGCTGCGGACGTAGTCTGGAGCAAGAGAAACAGAACCTTTGGGTCGTCCAAATCAGGGAACCTCCTGGCTTGGAATTCATGCAGCAATGAATTGTCAGAAATAACACTGGGGACTGACATGGTTGCTGACTTTTAGATTCACCAAAAGGGCATTTTACAAAACAAACTATCACCTGCTGAGCACCAGTTTAACAGAAAGGTCATCTTACACAGAAAAGGCAGAAAGGTTGATCTTGGAATACATGCAGCCCTTTAAGTCAAATACATCTAGTGTTATGAAATGCCACTTAAGCCTTCTTTTTTTTAATCATAAAAATCCTGTGAACTAGCACGGACTTAGTCACCCGTCCAAAACAGAAATAGCAATTATTATTTTATGATCATTTATATTATTATATTATGATTTTATATTCTTATTATGACTATTATTACCATAGCTTCTCCAACAGAGGTCATCTCTGCATGTAAAATATGGTGGAACAAGAAAAGGATACAAAAGCTCCAATGATGAAAACGGGGCTGAAAACGTGTTTCTGGAAGGTAAACAACGCGAGGCCCATGTAGGAGAAGATAAAGTTCTCTGCCAGGAAATGTAACACCTCAAAGAGCTGCACAGAGAAAGGAAAAGAAAGCTGTAAATCCTGCAGCTCCTCCTTCCCTGTGTTAGCAGGCAACTCATGAGTACCAAGACTCTCTCTTACCTGCTTGGTTCGACTTCTTGATTCCACCGACAGATTGTTGTAGGTGTAATGAGCTTGTGTGATTCCACAGAAAAGGACAGCTACAACACCTGTTAAAACACCCCCAAAAAATTCAATGGAAAAAAAAAAGAGGCATGGAGAAAAACTGCTGGAACAAAAAGTTAAGGTAGGCAAGCCTAGCATATCCAACTTCTTGAATATTTTTGAAACTTTCCTTTTACTGGGCCAGGTGCAGTGGCTCACACCTGTAATCCCAGCACTGCAGGAGGCCAAGTCGGACAGATTGCTTGAGCCCAGAAATTTGAGATCAGTCTGGGCAACATGATAAAACCCCATCTCTACCAAAAATACAAAACATTAGCCAGATGTGGTGGCATGGGCCTGTGGTCCCAGTTACTCAGGAGAGCTGAGGTGAGAGGATTGCTTGAGCCTGGGAGGTCAAAGCTGCAGTGAGCCATGATCACACCTCTGCACTCCAGCCTGGGTGACAGAGGGCAACCTTTTATCAAGAAAAAATTTTCCTATTATAGAACACGCCTACAACCCCTCACCTCTCATATCAACCTTTCTGTCTCCCAACCCTGCCTTCCTTCAAAGCCAAGTACCCCAACATCCCCCTTTTGTTCCAGTTTTAAGGATATTTCTTGTCTCCTCTAAACTCCTCCAACTACCATCTGGTAGTTGGCATATAGCATTCATTCCCTCAAAGAGACTGTGAGGGTCCATCCAAATTTTTGTCATATTCTTCCCTGCTTTTAGAATGAATGGACTGAATTTCAAACTAATACTTTATTCATATATATTTTTTTGACACAGGGGTCTCATTCTGTCTCAAAAAATATATATGTATATAATCCCATAGTGGATTATATATTATATATCTCTCAGTGGAGGACAGTGGCATGATATGGGCTCACTGCAGCCTCTATCTCCGAGGCTCAAGTGATCCTCCCACCTTAGCCTCCCGAGTAGCTGGAACTACGGGTGCACGCCACCACACCCAGCTAATTTTTATATTTTCTTGTAGAGACAGGGTTTTGCCATCTTGCCCAGGCTGGTATCAAACTCCGGAGCTCCAGGGTTCCACCTGCCTTGGCCCCAAAGTGCTGGGATTATACAGGCATGTGCCACCGTGCCTGGTCAATATTTTTACACAGTCTAGGACTTCAGACAAAATAGATCAAGAGTACTACTCCATTTATCCAAGCCCTGATCATCTGTATTTCTGGTGAATGGTGACCATTTTATTGTGCGAGACAAGTGACACACCTGGGACTTTGCCTACACATTTATGGATAACTGTTAAATTTTAAGGAAGTGGGGCATTTTGCAATGCTGCATATAAAGATTTGCTACGGTATTTTGAAAAGGTGATAAAAGTACATTCTAAGTACCTGGATTATGTACAGTAATTGTACTTGAATTTTCTAATGGAAAAAATCCATTTTTTTAAAGTGAGAGAATGTAAGGAAGCAAAACCATGTTTCACCACACTAATACTACATGAAACCGACACCATAAAAACGTGATACTGAAAAACAATGATTAAAGAGCCCAGAGACACAACAATTAAAAGCCGTGTTCACATTCATCTGAGCAGATGCAAAATCACTTTTTTTTTGAGACGGAGTTTCGCTTTCAAAAAAAGAGAGTGAATTCTTGTTGCCCAGGCTGAAGTGCAATGGCACGATCTCGACTCACTGCAACCTCTGCCTCCCGGGTTCAAGAGATTCTCCTGCCTCAGCCTCCCAAGTAGATGAGATTACAGGCATACACCACCACACCCAGCTAATTTTGTGTTTTTCGTAGAGACAGGTTTCTCCATGTTGGTCAGGCTGGTCTCAAATTCCCAACCTCAGGTGATCTGCCTGCCTCGGCCTCCCAAAGTGCTGGGATTACAAGTGTAAGCCACCACACATGGCACAAAAATTACCTTTTAAAGGACACATATTTTGCTTGCTATTGCTACTGTTTGTAAAATAACATAGCAATCAAGGGAAATATACAAATAAGATTTTAATAGATTCTTTGCACCTTAACATCTGTTTATAGTTAGAATTCAAAAACATAACTGAATTTGGAATGATCAACTTTATCATTAAAATCTAGTTTTTCAGGCTGGGCATGGTGGCTCATGCCTGCAATCCCAGTGCTTTGGGAGGCTGAGGTAAGAGGATCATTTAAGGCCAGGAGTTTGAGACTAGCCTGGACAACATAGCAAACATCATCTCTTAAAAAATAAAAAAGTTAGCTGGGTATGATATGTGCCTGTGGTCCCAGGTACTTGGGAAGGTGAAGGGGGAAGATCCCTTGAGCCTAGGAGCTCGAGGTTACAGTGAGCTATGACCGTGCTGTTGCACTCCAGCCTTGGTGACACAGCAAGACCTTGTCTCTAAAAAAATAAAATTAAAAAAAAATCTGTAGCTTTTTGGAAAGTCTCACAATCCATTTAAGGCAGAACACTAGCCTTGCTCAGCAATCCTCCATATGGACACGTGCTGAACAGTTAAACGCCATGCAGCTGCTCTCTAAAAATTCTTCCCTTCCTTCAAGCTCCCATAGCCCCCACTACAGTGAGGGCAAGGGTGGTCCAAGAGTAGAGAAAACCTACCTGTAAATCCGCAGGCTTCTGCCAAGAGAAATGTGCTCCAGGACATGAGGAAGAAGAGTGCTGTCTCCAGCAGGGGGAAGCAGTGCAGTTTGGTGAACTTGGTCACGTTGGCATTCTGTCAAGGACCCTGTCTCCAGGTACATGTATCACAGCCACCAAGAACCACACACTCTACTAGCCCAGGACCCCTCCCCAAAGGGCTAGCCTTTCCCTTCAACTTTTTTTTTTTTTTGAGGCTCTAAAGCTGCTGGAGATCTCTTAATAAAAATTTAGCTTTTCAGTAGAACACGAGTTGTGTAGGGGCTACAGGGAGGAAGAAACCGGGAGATATTGTCTAATGGGTACAGAGCTGCTGTTTGGGATGATGAAAAAGTTCTGAAAGTTGACAGGGGAATGGCTACATGACACTGTGAGTGTACTTAATGCCCCCAGAATTGTGCACTTAAAAATGGTTAAATGACAAATCTTGTTAGATACGTTTTACCACAATTTAAAAAAATTAATCATGTAGGCCAGGCACAGTGGCTCACACCTGTAATCCTAGCACTTTGGAAGGCCGAGGTGGGTGGATCACCTGGGGTCAGTAGTTGGAGACTAGTGTGGCCAACATAGTGAGACCCTGTCTCTATTGATAATACAAAAATTAGCTGGGTATGATGACACACATCTGTAATACCAGCTATTCAGGAAGCTGAGAATCACTTGAAACTGGGAGGCAGAGGTTTCAGTGAGCCGAGATTGCACCACTGCACTCCAGCCTGGGCAACAGAACGAGATTTAGTCAAAAAATCAAAAATATCATGTAATAAACCAAAAGCCATTGAATTTAAATGGGTGACTTGTATGGTATATAAATTATATCTCAATAAGGCTGTTTTTAAAATATTCAGCTTTCTAGAAAAACTGGCAACTGGTTTTCCGTGTTTCTTGAATGCGCATGGTTCTGAGAGGCACGGTCATGATGCCAGGTTGGCTTGGTGGGTTGGCTGCAGCAGGGTTGTGAAGACAAGGCCTGTGAGACCCTGACCCCTGTGCACCACTGAGGCCGCCTGAGTCCACAGCAGGTGCCTAATGAAGGCATGAGAAAGAAAGAAATGCACAATTCCTGGGGCAGCTAACAGGTGCTGGTGTCATCTCTTGGGGCCAGAGATCCTTCTCATAACAGTGCCATTTGACACAGAGCCACCACAGAAGCATCTCATGAGGGATTTCACTGAGCAATATATATCTCCAGGGCATCAAAAGGGCCCTTGTGAAGAAAGCAATTTAAATCTGCGCTATCCAATGTGGTAACCACTGGCCACATGTGGCTACTGAACAGTTATAATGTGGCTAGTCCAAATTGAGATGTGTGGTAAGAGCAACAAACACACCATATATATATATAATATATATATATTTGAGATGGAGTTTTGCTCTGTCACCCAAGCTGGAGTGCAATGGTGTGGTCTCAGCTCATTGTAACCTCTGCTACTTGGGTTCAAGTGATTCTCCTGGCTCAGCCTCCCAATTAGCTGGGATTACGGGCATGCGCCACCACACCCAGCTAATTTTTGTATTTTTAGTAGAGACAGGTTTTCACCATATTGGCAAGCTGGTCTCAAACTCCTGACTTCAGGTCATCTGCCCACCTCAGCCTCCCAAAGTGCTGAGATTACAGGCGCGAGCCACTGTCACACACACCATATTTCAAAGGCTTGGCACAAAGATTGGATGTATAAAATCTCAGTAACTATTTTTATCATAATGTTACTTTTTTCCATATCAACTACATGTTGGAATGATGTGGTTTAAATTACATTAGTAATGCCCACCAAAGGGATATGATGCAGAACTCAGCACACCTGTGAGGGGGTGCCTGCTCTTGCCACACTGTTTTTTTGTTTTGTTTTGTTTTTGAGAAAAGCTGGCATAAAGCACTTTTACTGCAAATAATAAAACTTGAAAGTCATATGTGGTGCTGAGGGGAAGAGGCAGCAATGATTTCTCTCACCAAATCACTACACAGGACAGCGAAGGGGTGAGAAGGGGCTGAGGGAGGAAAAGCCAGGAAATTTTGAGATCAGCAGAGGGAGCCAAGCATCGAAAAACAGGAGATGCTGAAGCTGCGATGGCCAGCATCATTCTTAAGAGAATGTTCAAGGATTTGTCCTGATGACTGGGCTTTCATTAGGTGTTAAGTCTACAAACAGCACCTTCAATTTAAACTGTCAAAGTTCTTAAGATTTAGGAAGTGGTGGAGCTTGGAAAGTTATGAGATTACAAATTCCTGAAAGTCCATTAGAAAAACCACAGGATGGAAAAAAAATAAGGCACAAAGAAGGCTTCAGAGGTCCCTGCTGGCCCAGGGACAGATACCTGTAGTGCCCAACAGCGCAGTGAAAATGGTCTGCTTTCAAAGGCAGAAGGTTTAAGGGGAGGGTGGGGTGGGACTGGTGGAGGCAAAGGCTCTCCCTATCCCCACCTCAGTTTTAGGTAGGACTTTTAATTTAACCGAAGAACATCTCTCAACTTGGAGAATAATGTAGCCCTCAATCGTGCCTCAAATCTGCTATGGCTTTGCAGCACAGCAGCAAGAATGTTTAATATATACTAGATTAAAATTTCATCCAAACAATTAAGATCTTCTTGCAACCCCCCCAACACGAATTCCTATTTTAAAGTTAACATATCACTTGTGCTGTTTATACTTGAACGTGTACTTAATTGGAAACCTAGATCCAAAAGACTGAAACTGAACCTTCACCCCAAAATGAAAACAAAATAAAATTAATAACTTGAGGTTTACATGGCATATAGTTTAGGTAAACACACATATGAAGGGAAAGGGGAAGAGGCAATGGATGGGTCAGAAGCAAAGCTGAGTGACAGAACACATTCAGTCAGGGCCGATGTCTATACAGAGCAGAGCGGAACATCAGGAAAAGCTCCATATGGATTCATGTGCACATATCTGGAGGCACCAGATCCCTCCATGGCAGATCCAAGAACAAGGAGCTAAGGGAGGAGGCCATTCCTGACATTCCAGTTTTAGAAGCTCCACATCGAAGATGAGAGTGGCACATGGTGGGATGATGCCTGGGTGCTCAGTGGCACCGTAGGCATAATCTGGAGATACAGTCGGTTTGGCTCTCTGACCCACACTCATCTGGGCAACTCCTTCTTCCCAGCCTCGCATAACCTCCTGCTTGCCTAGCATACACTTAAAGGGCTTGTTTCTGTCTCCGGAGGAATCAAATCTCTTTCCATCTTCAAGCATCCGGGTGTAGTGCACCACGCAGGTCTGGCCGCGCTTCGGGAAGGTGCGCCCCTCTCCTGGGGAGATGGTTTCCACCTGCACTCCCATGGCGGTGGTGGATGCTGGGCGGGCGGGCAGCGGGATGGGCAGCATGGACCGATAGCATCCACACTTGGTTTTTTAGTTTGTTTAAACTAAATATTGGGCCATTCTTTGCTTATGGAAGGCCACCAATTAGCTATCACCACATAACACCATGCGGCCCTGAACAGCAGGTGGCAGCAGCTAGCTGGGACTAAAGTACTTCCCAGCCAGTAGTCCCTGATTCCCACCCTCCTCCTGGCTCCTCAGCTCTTTTGGCCCCCCTGAAACTGACGTTCCAATTGGATCACAAGGAACGGAGAGAAAAAGCAAAGGTGAAGACAGAGTGAAGTCTAAGGTTGCATTCCTAAACGTTTTCTCAGACTCTCAGCTAGAGACCCAATCATCACGCTTTAACAAAATGACATATTTCAGGAGCCGTCACACCCCAGTGAACAGTCAATGTAAGATTCTGATTTGAAAGAACAGCTGAGAACTTTTTTTTTGAAAGTATAATGCCACACGCACATACCCAGGCAGGAGCCGAAATTACAAAAAGGATATTAGAGCAGTCACAACACCAGTCACAGCTCCCATGGTAAAAGAGCCACTAAATATACCTAGAAAAATGCCAACTGACTTAAAAAAGGCAGCAGCATCAAAGGCGTGAGTGTTCAGTCCCGCTGGCTGGTAGGCAACAATAGACCTGAAGTTTAAAAAGAAGAGAGAGGTTTTTTTTGTTTGTTTGTTTTGTTTTTTTAAGACTGCACTGGTTTTACACCATGGTACCTGAAAATATCGACAAACATAGGTATCTACATTTTGCCAAGCATTGGCCAGGGCAAATTCATTTAATTTAATCTGCAGTCAGCATTGCCCAGGGTAAATTCACTTAATTTGCAGCCACCATGTTACGCTGGCATCAGCATCTGATTGCTGCTGGGCACACAAAGCAATGCAATTTTATCCACAAAGCTGATAAATCTCATTTAGAAAAACGCCCAATTCAATATTTAACACATTTAAAATGAGCCTCTGAATTTTGCCCAAAGCATACAGGAAACCGTGATGTCTCTTCCCCAGCAGAAACACTGCTACTTACGATGACAGTACAATAGCAACAGCATCATTTAGGACGCTCTCTCCAAACAGAAGTGCGTAAAGATCCACGTCTGCATGCAATTCATTAAATATGGCCAGCACAGTCACTGAAAAGTGAGAGGAAAGCACAGAAATTAGTTTTGGTTTGTGACCTTAAACCACTGATTACAGATTTATAGAGGCAATTCCTATCTTGAAGTAGGACTGGGTGGTTCAAGAGACAGCAAGGCAATCAAAGATGGACTTGCCTATCTGTGGCAGAAATGAAAATGGCAATCTTCCATATCTGAAGGAGCTCTGAGATGATGCTTCAGTCTAATGACACTGCACCAAAACACTATGCTTTCCGCTGTGATCCCATCACACTTTGAAAGTATCTGTTATAGAACTTCAAAAAATAAAGACAATTAATGTGATTTGGCTTCACCAATGGGTTGAAACCTCTTTGGTTTCTCTGGCTCAATAGAGCCAACGTTAAAATAACAAAGTTATTACAAAAGTGATTAATGAGATTTTGGCTGGGCACAGTGGCTCATGCTTGTAATCTCAGCACTTTGGGAGGCCGAGGCAGGTGGATCACCTGAGGTCAGGAGTTTGAGCCCAGACTGACCAACACAGTGAAACCCCATCTCTACTAAAAATACAAAATTAGGCAGGCAAGGTGGTACACACCTGTAATCCCAGTAACTTGGGAGGCTGAGCCTGGAGAATCACTTGAACCTGGGAGGCAGAGGTTGCAGTGCACCAAGATTGCACCATTGCACTCCAGCCTGGGCAACAAGAGCAAAAACCCATTTCAAAAAAAAAAAAAAAGATTAATTAGATATTAAAAATTCCAACTTTGTGCCAAGCCTTTGAAATATGGTGTGTGTTGCTTAAAATAATAACGATGGCTGGCGGGTGGGGGCAATATTGCCCCGGGTTGAGAACCACCCCTCTAGATACATGAACGCAAGCCATGTTTTCTCTCAACACTCATACCCAACTACCCTCTCTTGATGGTTTCTACCATAGGACTGCAAAAACGAAACACTCACTTTCCCAGCTTCCCTTGCAGAAAGCACCACCTCTTCCTGTCGGGAAGAGGGCAGAGAGGCCAGACACCAATGCAGTCATCTTTCCTCCATGCGGCAACTGATGTGTGACTGAAACCCCAGAGCAGTGCAGTAGAAAGATTGAGTGCCTGGATGCCTGATTGTAGTGGAAGCCATGACATCAGGCCAGTACTGATACCCAAGATAAATATCTACTTGTTTAAGCAGGGATTAGCCAGGTTTGTCTGTTCTTTGCAGCCAAAAGCATTACTAATTGATACAATTAGGAAACCAAGCCAAACAAATGTTTAGTGAGCTATTATAAGCCAACAAGTCTTGTAACCACTCCCCAGCCCAGTTCAAGAAATGGAACTTTCTCAGTCCTCCATATGTCCCATCCCAATCTGAAGCCTCTTCCTTCATTTAAAGAGAACCACTAACCTAAATTTTATAGTCTTCATTTTCTTGCCTTTCCCTATTTAGTCACCCAAATGCACATTCCCTGACACTATCGTTTGGTTTTGCCCACTTTAAAAAAATGTGCTTTTTACATCTTTTTCCTCTATAGGTTCCCCTTCCATTCCTTACTGTTGGCTTTTGTCCTATAATGCCCTATTGTTTAGTTCCCTCATGTCTAAATTTTCCAATCTTTTTTCTTTTTCTTTTTCTTTTTTTTTTTTTTTTTGAGACGGAGACGGAGTCTTGCTCTGTCACCCAGGCTGGAGTACAATGGCGCAATCTCAGCTCACTACAACCTCCACCTCTGGGTTCACCCAATTCTCCTTTCTGAGACTCCCGAGTAGCTGGGATTACAGGTGCGCACCATCATGACTGGCTAATATTTTGTATTTTTAGCAGAGATGGGGTTTCATTATGTTGGCCAGGCTGGTCTTGAACTCCCAACCTCAAGTGATCTGCCTGCCTTGGCCTCCCAAAGTGCTAGAATTACAATCGTGAAACACCGTGCCCGGCCTAAATTTTCCATTTCTGATGTATGCAGTTCTTTCATAATTTCTATCACGTTCTTAATTTCCTTCAGCTGCTCTTGGAATATTAATAAAGTTTCACCTTTTAGGGGCCTATTTTTCTTCTGGCATGACTCTATTAACTGTAGCTTTATTATTCAGAGGGTGTGTTCTCATATTTCTCTTAACAATATGTTTGCACGAAGTTCAACCTCAATTCATTTCTGTTGCTCATATTTAAGTGAGGTGTGTAAGGGGTAGGAGTGGGCCCAGAAGAGCTCTCCTAGTTTCATGGCTCCAGGGCTCCCTCTTCTGGGTTTTATGTTTAACTATTAAAAACATGGCCTCTGGGCTGGGCATGGTGGCTTACACCTGTAATACCAGCACTTTGGGAGGCCAAAGTGGGTGGATCACCTGAGGTAGGGAGTTCCAGACCAGCCTGACCAACATGGAGAAACCCCATCTCTACTAAAAATATAAAATTAGCTGGGTGTGCTGGTATATTCCTGTAATCCCAGCTATTTGGGAGGCTGAGGCAGGAGAATCACTTGAACCCGGGAGGCAGAGGTTGCAGTGAGCTGAGATCACGCCATTGCACTCCAGCCTGGGCAACAAGAGCGAAACTCCATCTCAACAACAACAAAAAACCATGGCCTCTGGGTATGGCCACCTTCTCAATACTTTCTGAGATCCACTGCCTCTGGCCTTCTTCTCCTTTAGTGTCTGAGCTTTCTTCCTCCTTTCATGTCCTGTCAATCAGGGTTATGGTCTTAGCAGTGAGTTTTTAGGGAACAACTCTGTCCTTCCAGAAATATATTTGCTGGGTATTTCTGAGAGCCCTGACCACTCATGCCACTCCTGCAGCCTCTAATCTCCTCCAGTCTCCTTCCATTTACCCACAAATTGGTGACTGTAAAGCTCCCTCCTATTTCTAACTATGATCAGATATGCCCACAAACTTCTTTATTCTCAGTAGAGATCCCTCCTTTTGAGAATAAACACTTGTGGAATATTTTTAGGTTTCCTGACAGTCAAAATGATCAGCACCCCCTTTTCTCCTCTGCACAGTTGTTATTTCAATATGCAAGTCTCACTGCTGGCGGTAGATGGTGGGATACCCTGTCCATAAGTTTCATTTTATTTTAATTTTAAGACAAAGTCTCAGTATGCTGCCCAGGCTGGACTTGAACTCCTGGGCTCAAGTGATCCTCCCATCTCAGCCTCCTGAGTAGCTGGGACAACAGATACATGCCACCATGACTGCCCTGTTAGCTCTCTGTGTTTTTTCTTTTGCTGTCTTGCTTTCTGTATTCTTCTTAGGGATTAAGGGAGATTTCAAAATGACACTATTCTCATCATACCTTCCTTTGAAAAAAAGTTTATTTATTGAGGGTAAGCAAAAATAATTTGGACTTGAAAAATGTCTACTATGTCATGAAGCTTTTAGGCCAGGTGTGGTACGCATCTGTGGTCCCATCTACTTGGGAGGCTGAGATGGGGGATTGCTTAAGCCCTGGAGTTCCGGCCTACAGTGAACTATTATCACACCACCATACCCCAGCCTCCCAAGTAGATGGGACAACCGGAAGACGATGGGATAGGGATGACAGACTGGGTAAGTGATTTCTAATAGGAGAGATGAAACAGACTGCCTTCCTCCCTACAGCAGGACCCTTGAAATCAGGGTGAGCAGGGTCAGAGCTGTTTCCAACTAGACACAGACTGAGAAATCACAATTAACTAACTGAAGACCACTGGGTGCAGGCAGTGGGAAAAACAAAAGAATGACAGGTATATGAAGAAGGAAAAACTCAAGGACCTAAATGTGTTCATTCAACTAACTTTTCTTGAACACTTCATCCGTGTACTCAAGGGCACTTAGCACTTGTGAGCACTCAGTACAAAGTGGCAAGTACTGTCATGTACAACACAGACCTAACTCAAAGATCTGAGGGAGCAGTTATTGAAGGAGTCTAGGAAGACTGACTAGGCAGGTAGCACATTTGAACCAGTCCCAAAGGATGAGCAAAAGACTGACCAGCCCAAGTGATGCAACTAGAGAAATGGTCTTGGACAACACAGATCCCAAATCATGAAACGCGTGTCGGGTGTGGTGGCTCATGTCTGTGATCCCAGCACTTTCAGAGGCCAAGGCAGGTGGATTTTTGTGCTCAGACGTCTGAGATCAGCCTGGCCAACACGGTGAAACCCCATCTCTACAAAAAATACAAAAATTAACCAGGCATGCTGGTAGTCCCAGTTAATCTGGAGGCAGAGGTGGAAGGATCACTTGAGCCCTGGGAGGTCAAGGCTGAAGTGAGTTGAGGTCATGCCACTGCATTCCAGCCTGGGCGACAGAGACCCTGTCTCGAAAAAATATAAATGAATGAATGAATGAATGAATGAATGAAATAGAAACCTGTGAGTCAGGCTGATTGACTCAAAGAGTACAAAGGTGATGAATTAAAATTGGGGAAATGACATCATGATGGCTTACAGGAAGGAATAGTACTTGTATTCTCCGGTGGCTGCCTAGGAAGGCACCACGGGGTGGAAATGTGGCTTTTTCTTTAATTATGGATCCATCTAAAACAAAAACCCACCAAGATGGCACACAGCAGTCATGACACATGACCACAGAACAGAGAAGGCTCCCTGTCACAGTGCAGCCTACACTATCCCACACATACTGTGTCACCTTCAGCCAGAAGACCAATGACTCATGTCTGAAGCCATATACAGTAATCAGGGACAAGGATTCTTATTCCTTCATATCAGTCAATGCCACTCTGTATACCTAATACAGGTTTCTGTTTTATTTTTTAAAGACAAGATCTTGCTCTGTCGCCCAGGCTGAAGTGCAATGGTGTGATCACAGCTCACTGCAGCCCCAAACTCCTGGGCTCAAGCAATCCTCTTGCCTCAACACCCCTGCCACGAGCAGCTGGGACTATAGGCATGTACCACCATGGCCAGCTAAATTAAAAAAAAAACAAAACTTTTTTTGTGGGGATGAGGTTCTACTATGTTTCCCAGGCTGCCAATATCAGAATTTTTGCTTGATGCACCAGGCACTAGAAGTCAGTCTGGTCTTGTGATCCTTAACTCTGCACTTAAGTTTTCATCTCTTTTATGACCCAAGTTTTCAAACAACAGGTTTTTTGGAGGCTGGCAAAACACTTCTAATTTACAAAAACATTCTACATTTCAGGAAGATTTCTATTAAAAAAGCAATTAAAGTTAATGTCCTGATGTTTAATAAGTTTAAACTTTCAATTATCTAGAACTTCCATTTCTATAAAACCCTTACTGTGCCAATCTCCATAGGCCAAGTAAAAATGGAGTAGCACGGTAATGCCTTCCATTATTTTCTACCATAGCATAGACACATTAAAGGGAAGTAAACAATTACAAAGATAATCTGGAAAAGTAAGCCTCTCTATCCAATTAAATGAAGCAACACTGATAGTTCAGGAAACAATATCAATCTTTATGTTACACTAACTTCCCTTTACTTGTTAGTGGTACTAGTAAGACGTTAGTAATGAAATTATAGATGAGTATAGTTAGAAACACATTTTCAGATAGATAAACACCTTTCTCAGATTTATGAAGATCTATTTCTCCATAGACACACATCTGGAGACAGTCACAGACAGCACAGGATTAAAATAATAAAGCTGATTTTCAGAGATCTCTTTGGAAACATGCTTCAATTAAGAGATGATCTGTTCTTTATTTTTTAAACATGAAGAAAACTGGGAAATCTCTGCCTGAGTCAGATGTGGACATAGACCAGCATCATTTGGAGATGGTACACTCAGTGCCTTACACACGTTGTTTCATTTCATCTTCAAAATAGCCTTAGGAAATAGGTGCCATCGTTTCTCCTTTGTGGATGAGGAAACTGATGTGAGGGGATAATGTGTGCCTAGGCCACCCGATCAGTGATAGTAGGGCTAGAACTCGACCCAAACCTGTGACTCCAAATCCCACCTTTTCACAAATCACAGTGCCTTGACATGCAAGTCTTCATACTAATTTACTCAGGGTGTTTGTAATAAAATATGAGGGTAAGAGAGGTCAATATTTTTTTTGGAATATCGATATTCTTCAGAACCACCAACCGTCTAGAGTTATGCTGTTTGATATGGTAACCACTAGCCACACGTGGCTATTTACATTTAAATTACTTAACATTGGCCGGGCGCAGTGGCTCATACCTATAATCCAAGCACTTTGGGAGGGCAAGGCGGGCAGATCACCTAAGGTCAGGAGTTCAAGATCAGCCTGACCAACACAGTGAAACCCTGCCTCTACTAAAAATATAAAATAAGCCAGGCATGGTGGTGCATGCCTGTAATCCCAGCTACTCGGGAGGCTGAGGCAGGAAGATTGCTTGAACCCAGGAGGTGGAGGTTACAGTGACTGAGATCGTGCCATCGCACTCCAGTCTGGGCAACAAAAGCGAAACTCTGCCTCAAAAAATAAAATTACTTAACATTAAATAAAAGTTAAAATCAGTGCCCCAATTGCACTACCCTAAATTTCGACTGCTCAAAAGCTACATGTGACTACTAGTTACCACAATGGACTGGGCAGACTGTAGAACATCTCTATCTTGAAAGAAAGATCCATAAGATATCACGGATGGAAAGGACCCCCCCACCACGGGACATGGTCAAGTGGGGTATCTTAGTGTCTCTAAGGTTATTACAGTTCAGAATGTTAGAGGGCACTGGAGACAAAGAGTGGACCTTTCTATCTCCACTGTGAGGACAGGAGCAGCTCATTCTCCAGAACTTCTTTCCCTAAGGTATACTCTCAATAGCTGACACCAAGGAAGAGAATGGCTGTAACTACTTTATGCAAACTGATCAAATTATAAGTTCCAACTTGGAAAGGAGAACATTTTTGTTTGTTTTTGAGCTGCAAGGGAGGAGCAGTATGTAATAATTCACTTGTAAGAATTAGTTCAACCAACACTTGAAAAATACAAAGCAAGGGATTGATGAATAGAAAATCATGTCACGGTGCACACTCCTGCTGGAATGCTGAACAAAAGGAGTTTATAAATTAAATTACATTCACTACAGATAATCATGTGTGTTTCTGCTAAGAAAAGGTATTATTTAAAGCAAATGATATGTTGCAGAAAAGAAGGCAAAAGGGTAACACTGGGAAAGAAGACAATCTAAGTGTAAAAATTATGACCAAATTAGTCATTCTAAGATGAAAGGCGAAATACGCTATACAGATACAATGAATTTTTTTTTTCTTTTCAGATGGAGTCTTGCTTTGTTGCCCAGGTTGGAGTGCAGTGGCGCAATCTTGGCTCACTGCAACCTCTGCCTCCCAGGTTCAAACAATTCTCCTGCCTCAGCCTCCTGAGTAGTTGGGACTACAGGTACCCGCCACCATGCCTGGCTAATTTTTATTGTATTTTTAGTAGAGGTGGGATTTCACCGTGTCAGCAGGACGGTCTTGATCTCCTCACCTTGTGATCCATCCACCTTGGCCTCCCAAAGTGCTGAGATTACAGGCATGAGTCACTGCGCCCGGCCACAATGCAATGTTATTCAGCCTTAAAGGTTAGGAAATTATGACAAATGCTATGACATAAATGAACTTTCAGGACATTATGCTAAGTGAAATAAGCCAATCACAAAAGGACAAATACAGTATGATTTCACTTGTATGATGTATCTACAGTAGTCAAGTGCATAGAGACAGAAAGTCAAAGGTAATTGCCAGGGGCTGCAGGGAAGGGGGACTGGGGAGTTGTTGTTTAATGGGTATAGCATTTCAGTTTTGCAAGATGAAAAAGTTCTAGGGATTGGTTTTACAATGATGTGGGTATACTTAATGCTATTAAGATAGTAAATGTCAGGCATTTTTACCACAAAAAAATTAATAATAGAAAAGGAAATTGCATGCCCTTCTTAGAAAAGCCACCTAACTATAGTCCCACTGCTTGGGAGGCTGAGGCAGGAGGATTGCTTGAGCCTGGGAGGTCAAGGCTTCAGTGAGCTGTGATTGCACCACTGCACTCCAGCCTGGGAAGCCCAGGGAGAACCTGTCTCAAAAAAGGAAAAAGAAAAAGGAAAGCCATTTAAGTCTGTTAGACTCACCTATTGATTATTTCTTCCACCACCATGCCATGCAAATAAATACTACATTCTCCCTACTGCAACAAAAGTTAATAATTGCTCTGAACTTTTAAAGATTTAAATAATGGAATACCATAATGATAAAGCCAAATAATGCAAGCTAAATACCTGGGTCAGTGGCAGAGATGATTGCTCCAAAAAAGAGACAATCTGTGTAGTAAAATTTATCTGAGAGCTGTCCCATAATCTTCATGAGCTTCACCACACCATACATGAGATTGCTGTAAGAAGGTAAGGTAAACTATGTCAGGAGAAAAAAATAAGTAACTTGGCAAACATGCAAGCAGCATAGTACTAGAATACTATTCTTAGCGATTTATGAAAATAATAGGCAGTTGCCATGGTTGGACACTTACCAGAGACATGGGCAAATGGACTTTGGTACCAAGTAATAGTTTGCAGTTAATGTCATCTTGCTGAAACATCTGAACATTTCATTTTTAAAAGTTATACTTGCTAACAACTAAAGCAACCATGAAGCACAGTCTTTAATTAGCAACAAAACTAAGGCATTTTAAGCAACTGGGTAATACAGGGAAAAGGAAGAAACAGAACCTGGCATAATGTTTTCATAGCAGTAAGTTGCTACAAAACTCACAAAATTCTAAGATAATGCATTTAAAGTCAGAGAAATCAGTAGACTCGATGAAACTGGAGAGGAAAAAAAAATGGGCTGGTCACAAAGATCTAAAGGATTGAACTACTACTGCCTTCTCTGCCAAGAATTATTTCAAAGAAGGGGAAAAAAGGCAAATGTCTTTAAATGTCCTATTAGAACATCTGCATACCCATCAAGATATCTGGCCTCTCACTCTTTGCATGGATCAGGCAGGCCAGCAATAGCCCTCCTTAAGCTATGTAGACTGTGACGTGATCTAAGAGGGACTATCAAGCTAAATTTTTCAGCTTGGCGGGAGCACATTTCCTACAGGACAGCTTGCAAATTGGGAGGAGGGAGGAGTGAGGATTGTGAAAAGGCCTAGTACATATTACAAGGGTATGTGCGCGTGCATGTATGTGCACACATGCTCACGCAAGGTGGCAGCAGCAGTGATAGCAGCAGCTGCAGGGGTTAGAGGAGTAAAATAACATGGACTTGACTCATTATGTCTACAGCCAACCCTCTAATAATGAGATTCTTGAGATCATTGCCCACCGTTGTGTCTCAAATTCTTAGAAGAGTAGACTAGCTAAGCTAGGAGCAAAAGAACTATTTGCAGAATGGAATTCTTTAGAGAAGAAAGAACCATAACTTAATGTTTGCCTATTGTGTGCCAGACACTGTTCTAGACACTTAACCAGTTCAACTTCATTTCACAGCAATTGTATGTTACAGATTTGATTTGCCCTTTGTTGCTTATTAAAGGCTTCTTTCATGTACCCTTTAAACATTCCTGGAACAGGACCTTCTTCTCCATTTCCTTTCACCACAGTCCATGACCTACACCAGGCATCCCCAAACTTTTTACACAGGGGGCCAGTTCACTGTCCCTCAGACCGTTGGAAGGCCGCCACATACTGTGCTCCTCTCACTGACCACCAATGAAAGAGGTGCCCCTTCCTGAAGTGCAGTGGGGGGCCAGATAAATGGCCTCAGGGGGCCGCATGCGGCCCGCAGGCCGGGCCGTAGTTTGGGGACGCCTGACCTACACAATAGACTTCTTCAGCAGCCTTTTCCCCATTTTGCTTCCTATCATCACTAACGCCAGTTATATAACCTGTCATTCTTCAATAATGTGCCATCTCTTAAAGGATAAGTCCAAGCCCCTCCTTTTTTGATGGCATAAAAGGCCCCTGCTATTATCGCCAGGTTTCTAGCTAATTGTTAAAAAAATAATTAAAGTCCTAACTTTATTCAGATTTTCTTAGATTTTAACCTAATGTCCTTTTCCTGTTCCAGGATCTTATCCAGGATACCACAGTGACATTTAGTCATCAAATCCCTTTAGTTGCCTGATGGCTGTGACAGTTTCTTACACTGCTCATTTTTGATGACCTTGGCAGATTTAAGGAGTACTGGTCAGATATTTTGTAGAATGTTCTTCGACTAAAATTTGTCTGATTTTTTTCTCATGGTTAGACTGGGGTAATGTGGTTTTGAGTGGAAGACCAGAGAGGTAAAGTACCCTTCTCATCACAAATATCAAGGTGCATACTATCAACGTGACTTACCGCTGCTGATGTTGACCTTGATCACCTGGTTGAGGTAGTATTTGTCACGTTTCTCCACTGTGAAGCTACTCTTTTTTCCTCCTTTCTGTACTGTACTCTTCAGAAAGAAGTCACTATGCACAGCCCACACTCAAAGAGGGAGTGGGAGGGGACTGAACTCCACCTCCTCGAGGGGGATGTATCTACATGAAGCATTTGGAATTCTTCTGCACAGGAGATTTGTCTTTTCTCCCCCATTTATTTATTCATCCAATCACTTATTTATATCTATATGGACTCAGGGATATTTACTTTATGCTCTTGGGGATAATCTAATACAACGTTGTTTGTTTTGCTGTTCTTCAGCCATTGAGGGGGCTTTGACCATTACAGGGGCTTTCAGGTTGGCTCTTGTGCCCCTTCGACATCCACCACATTCTTTTGTCTGTCTGTTTTCTGAGCACTTCCTTACTTTCTGGCATTACAAGATACTCTATTTTCATCTTGTATTTTTACTGCCCCAGCCCTAGAATTAACCATTTCTGCAAGGGACTCTGGTTCTTTTTATCAAAGAATGATAACAGAAACCAAGATCTGGGTATTGAGTATAATTTTATTTCACTTTAATTGATCTTAATTTAAATAGCCACATGGCTAATAGCTATGATACTGAACAATGTAACTCTCGATCCTGACTGCCATCATCAATAATATCAAAATACTGGACTCTGTGGACCCAGATGGATCTCATCTCTATGGAACATGCGTTAATTTGGTTATATGACAAACGTTCACTTACCCAATAATGAAGCACGAAACAGCAGTCCCCAAGAAGGCATAGGCCAGAATAGACCCAAGATTTCTGAAAAAGTGTCTCTGAATAAAACAAACAAAACCCAGGAATCACATTGTGATTTTTGACAATGAGCTTAAGAAACACAATAAAAGTCTCTAAAAAGTGGAACTCTACCTACTGCTTCCATTACATTAAGTAACAACTGAAGTTACTCCTATATGTTGCTATTTAACCTTAGACATCACGGGTTTTGTTTTTTGTTTTGTTTTGTTTTTGTTTTTTTAAGATGGGGTTTCACCTTGTTAGTCAGGCTGGTTTTGAACTCCTGACATCAGGTGATCCACCTGCCTTGGCCTCCCAAAGTGCTGGGATTACAGGCGTGAGCTACTGCGCCCGGCCCGACATCATGGTTTTAAGTTATCTTCTATACAGCTAGGTACTGAGCAAGTAAGCAAGAACTTAGTAAATTTTCAGACAAAACTGCTCTGGATGATTACATTAAATTACATTAAGTGTGTGTATATGTTTGTGCATGTCTGTGTGTGACTAGATCAATCATTTTTATAGATTTAACCCACACCATTTTACTCAGTGATTCAGCATGTCACTTCCAGTTCTGGTGGTACCTCAGAAGATCATTACAGATAGAAGTTTGAAACAAATACAGTGTGAAGGTGCTATGTCATGAGCTTTCTGTTTAATTTAATATCAGAAAACAAACAGAGTCTTAAATATCTGCTCATGGAACCTGAAGTGTCTGCCTATATAATTATCTAGATTAATCTCTGAAGCCTGGGAAACAAGGAAAAGAGAGATGGATGTGGAGAAATTAGAAACAGATAGTTCCATTTAAGATGGCCAATTTTATACAGGAAGAAACACACATCAATATCACGTCTAGAAATTATTCAGAATGAGGTGGCAAAACTGCAATCCTTTCAATGCTTCTGCACATTGGTTACCTTAAAAATACAAACACATGCAGTGGCTCACGCCTGTAATCCCAGCACTTTGAGAGGTGAGGCGGATGAATCACGAGGTCAGGAGATCAAGACCAGCCTGACTAACATGTGAAACCCTGTCTCTACTAAAATACAAAAAAATTAGCCAGGCATGGTAGTGCACGCCTGTAGTTCTACCTATTTGGGAGGTTGAGACAGGGGAATCGCTTGAACCCGGGAGGCGGAGGTTGCAGTGAGCCGAGATCATGCCACTGCACTCCAGCCTGGTGACAGAGCAAGACTGCATCTAAAAAACAAACAAAAACTACACACACACACACACACACACACACACACACACACACACACAGACACATGAAAATTTACTTGTTTTACCATGTTGTGTTTGAAGGATTTACTTCTTACAAGTCATTAGGCTTATGGGATATTCCAACAGAGGAAATTCTGCCTGTTCTGGGATCCTAAGCCACAGTTCTGCCTCCTCAAGGCATAAGCCATTCTCATTTGACAATCAGAACTATTTAACAACAACAGACAAACAAAATCTCCCAACACCCTGATCAAACAAGGGCCAGGAACACTTTACCTAAAAATTTTTTAAAAGGCAGGAGAGCCCCAGCATGTCAGCTGAGCAACAACAGAAAAAGACAGGGGACAGGAAGAAGAACCCAGCCTAGATCAGGCAGCCACCAGGAAGCATGGCCAGACAAAGGGCTGCAGGTGTCCTCTGGTCTGTATTCTAAACACAGGGCCTTCCCAGTGCTTGTCCCTAACTGAGTCAGTGAAGAAGTGTCAAGAAATGCCTGCTACCCCTAAGCCACCTGCTCAGGAGAGAATCCTTCAAGGGCTTGCCATCCTGACAGGCACTGAATGAGGGTGCTGCCTGTGCATATGATGGACACATTATGTTTGCCTCTTAAATCACTGCCTTTTTGTTTTTAATCTAATGCATTTATATACCAATGTTTTGAAAAAAAATTAGATTTCAAAAAAATCAGCAGCTGTGAGTCTGCTTCCCTTCAAAAGCTCCACAAAGGGCTTCTATCAGGGAGGGTTCGGAGCGCATCAAGAACAAGGCACAAGATGAATGACAGTTGTGAGGTATCCAAGAACAAATTTCAATCCCAGATGTGCTTTCCCTTGCCACTCAGCTTTCCTTTGGGTAGATATTCCCATGGTAACTCTGAATATAAATTAGATAAATTCATATTCATGACATTAGCCAAAGCAAAAAATTAGGAATGTAAATCTGCAGCCAAAAATACTTTCATAATATATTCTAAAATCACACACACACACACACACACACACACAATTACCCATCTCCCTGTTCATATCTGATGTGAGCTGAAACTTAACTGTATTTTGAAAAGATATACTACTTATTTGTGTATTATGTCTAGTACTTAAACGCATACTCCATAGTTCACAAAGTGTTTTCACATATATTAGCCCATCCGATTCTCACAATGATCTACCTGGAAGGTGTTATTTGGACCATCTTATACAAGAGAACCCAAGGCTCAAAGGCATGATGTAAGCTGCTTGAAGTCACATGTCTGCCAAACCAAGCCCCTGCCTGGAAAGCTGGTCTCCCACCCCCAAAGCATCATGCTCTCATTGCACAAGCTGCCCTGCCACCCAGCTCTTTGATTTCCACTTCTCTTTGGGAAAGAAAGGACAGGAGGTGTCCGGTGAAACCCTAGATCTTTCATCCTACCCTTATTTGGTTACAATACAGCCATGATTGGTTCAGAATCTCCCTTACTTTTCCTCCTTAGTTATAGAATTACAAGAAGAGACAAACGACGATGGCATGCTCTGGTAAAGTCTTCAAGAACATAAGTGTAAGACAGGCCAGGATGAGAAGGTTTGCTTTTGGTGAAAATCTACCTGATATCCCAATTTCTAGCTGTACCATTCTAAGCCTTACACTGCTACTCCTTGGGAAATTCTATCCCCTTCCATTCCCCACTGGCAAGTTTTAACATGTTATTGTATATGTGTGTGTGAGTGAGTGTGTGTGTTTGGTGGGGAAGTCCACCAATAATGGCGTCTATGGGTGAATTATTTTCCTGCCAAGGCCCTTTAAATAAACCGTGAGTGGTAGCACGAAATCAAAGCTAATTCCAGTGAGAACTTTTTTCAAGTCAGAAGGCCCATGTCTGCACGATAGCTACATGATCTGCATAGGTCAAAGGGTCCGAATGTTATCTGTGTATACACCATCTGTTAAATGGTGAAATATTTATTACACATTTCACTGACAGCAGATTTCATCAGAGATGGCAACCATATTAAGGTCCAACTATTTAAGTGCCTTTATAGGCACAATTTTAAAAGGAAAGAGACTAAACGAATAGTTGATAACCTGAAAGACTAGCTGTGCTATTTTGATGTGTATGTATTGGTTTTCATCTACAGTTCCTGCCTTATAAACTGCCATAGCTCTTGTTACAGTCTTTTGTTGTAACGTTGGGCATTTTGGGCCTCAGAAGCAGGTAGCAAAAAAAAAAAAAAAAAAGAATCTCTCTGACTTTCTCTTGTCCTCCTTTCATCTGCTCCTTTTTTGTCCCAAGGCAGGCCATAGAAACTAAAAATAGACTCTAATTTTCTCCTGCCTTTTTGATGTAGGTCATAAGACCCTCATTTCAGAAGGGATCCCACACTATACTGGGGAGGAAAGAATGCCACACAGAGAGGCCAAGAAGAATCTGGACAGGCCTTGCTGGGTTTCCCAACTCAGTCTATCAGCAATAGATCACACCCCTTTTGTCCAATCACATTTCTACGCGGTTGTCAATCATGCCTATGCAATGAACCTCCATAAAAGGTTCAAGAGGATGGGGTGCAGAGAGCTTCCAAACAGCTGAATATGTGAAGGTTCCTGGACGGTGGTGCCCAGGGAGGGCATGGAAGCTTCGTGCCCCTTTTTCCACACCTTGCCTTATGCATCTCTTCATCTGTATCCTTTGTAATACCTTTTATAACAAACTGGTAAGTATGAGTTAGTGTTTCCCTGAGTTCTGTGAGCCACTTCAGCAATGTAATGAAACTCAAAGAGGAGGTTGTGGGAACCCCAACTTGAAGCCAGGCAGTCAGAAGTCCCAGAGTTGTGACAGGTGTCTGATGTGGGGCAGGGGGGCAGTCTTGTGGGACTGAGCCTTCAATCCATGGGATCCAGCAGTATCTCCAGGTAGATAGTGTCAGAACTGAACTGGAGGACACCCAGCTGGTTTCTGCTGCAGAATTGATTGCTTGTTTCCTGGTGAGTAGAAATCCCTCCCACATTTAATCACAGAAGTCTTCTGTGTTGGTTACTGTATTATGAGAGCAGAAAAAAACCAATTTGTGGGTTTTTTTTTCCACTCAGGCTAGCATTTCAAAAACAAATTGATTAGGAACTGGCAAAGCCTGTGAGTGGTTTTTCTTTTGAGAAAATGGTGCTGATAAAAGGAAAGTTCTGCAAAAACTGAAATGTTTTTGAACCATCAGAGTGGCTTTCATAACCCATGATTTGGTTTCATTTTAAAACAACTATGACTGATTATACATTAAGATATGTTATGTAAAATAACAAATTACTCATCACCCATTTGATCTGAAGAAGAGCTCCCAAATTCTCCTTAGGTGAAAAATGACATTATTTATACTCATAATAACCATTTCCTATATATTACATGTCAGTAGATGACATACAAATTCAGATGACTCTGGCAACCCCACAGAGTAGTCAGGAAAAGGATATGGTCTTTTTGTACAGAAAACCTAAATCCAGAGGCAATAGGCACAAAGGAATAACTCTGAGCCCTGGAGTCAGACAGAGAGGGTATCACTTTGACTCAGTCTCACACTATGTAACCTCATATCTGTCATTAATCATTCTGAGCTCAGATTCATCATCAGTAAAACACAGGACACCCTACATGTGAGTACACAAATGTGCTGGGCTGGTGTGCAGAAATATACAGCCTCCTGCTCCTCAAGCACCTATTATGGAGAGGGGACTTATGTTCCATTCCTCTCCCCCTTCCCCTCCTGCCCTGAAGGTGATTCAGTAAAAGGGGAAGTGAGTTTGACCCTGATTTGTAGTCTTAACCCTGTTGTGCAAGGTGGGGAATTGTTCTTGCTCCTTTAGCCTCCATGCTGTGGGCAAAAGAGGCAGCTTTTGGTAGGCCCAACAATTTCTAGGATCTCTCCATTTCAGTCTCCTTACCTGTAACTGTGACCAATCTGGTGACTAAAGGGTACCTGTCCTCAATTCATAAGGTAGGTTGTAAGCAGCCCCATTACTAAAGGCTAAGTGACATACTCCAACATGCATCTACTAGGGACTTTGGATCTTAAATAAATAATTTAATCACAAGTTAACTCCTTGTGTCTGTTTATCAATGAGTTGGAAACCTGGAGGAGAAGCAGTGTAAACTAATCTTCAATTACCATCACCTTCTTACAGAGTTTCTGTGAAAATCAGAAAGAATGGATGTAAAAATGAAATAAAGAATATCCATTCCTAATACATGGCAAATGCTCTGTAAACTGTAACTATATTTATGTTGGTTGGAAATCGTTTAAAAACCATCTGAAAAGTACAGAGTGGCTTTGACAGAAGAGCCAGCCTGATGGGCAGGCATCTTCTCATAAAATGAATTGGCAAGTTTTCTGTCTTCTATTTTCTGGAAGAATTTGTGTAAGACTGGTATTATTTCTTCTGTAAATGCTTGATGTAATTCACCAGTAAAGCCATATGGGTGTGTGGAAAGGTTTTTCATTATGAACTCAATTTCTTTAACTAATACAGCTTTCCATCTCTTCTCAAGTCGGTTTTGATAATTTATGTCTTTCAAGGAATTTGTCCATTTCACCCAGGTTGCCAGATTTATATATTTTTCTTTTTTTGAGTTGTTTTTCATGGCAAGATCTCATCATGATGTTGTCAAATTTATTGGCACAAAAATTGTTCGTAGTATTCCCTTATTATCCTTTTAATATCCGAAGGGTCTATAGTAAAGTCCCTTCTTTTATTCCTGATATAGGTAATTTGTTTCTTTCTTCCTTTTTTCTCAACTGATTTAGCTAGAGTTGATCAATTTGGAGGCATTCTCTAGTTCCTAAGGATGTTGCTGAGTTCTATTGTCAGGCAAAATCTCTCTTCTCTAGACCTACTGAAAGGGTTTCCTTCACTCGTCATTCAGAAAGAGAGCTGAAACAAGTTCCACAGCTGTTACCTGCGTTTGGGGAGGCTTAATTTTCACATAATATAACCACAATGAGAGAGGAAGGGAGCCACTCACAAATATTTGTAAAGATATTTGGCATTTGTTTTTATTTATTTATTTATTTATTTTTTAGAGACTGGGTCTTGCTGTGGCCCAGACTGGAGTACAGTGACACGATCATGGCTCACTGCAGTCTCAAACTCCTAGGCTTAAGCCCCCCATCTCAGCCTCCTCCAAGCGTAAGTATGACCACAGGCATTTACCACCATGCCCAGCTTTTTTTTTTACTTTTTGTAGAGACACGGTCTTGCTATGTTGCCCAGGCTATTATTTGGTATTTTAAATAACTAGAGGCTCTGGCCCAACCTTGCTGTCTAGCACAATGACCCTCAGCAATAGGGATACTTACGTTCTTTAAAACTTTTTTATTTTGGAATAACTATAGATTCAAATAAGTTGCAAAGATTAAGTACAAAGAGGTTGTATGTACCCTTCACCCAGTTTCCCCCAATGGTTACATCTTACATAACTATGGTACAACATAAAAACCAAGAAACTGGCATTAATACAATGTGTGTGCATAGTTCCCTGTCATTTAATTAAATGTGTAGATTTGCATAACTAGCACTACAATCAAAATACACCATTGTTCCATTATCCTGAAGATGTCCCTCATGCTACCCCTTTATAAGCACCCCTACCCCAATGCCCCCACCATCCCTGTTTGCTGGCAACCACTAATTTGTTTTCCATCTCTATAATTTTGTCATTTCTACAATGCCATATAAATGAAATCATAGAGTATATAACCTGTTGAGATGGGATTTTTTTTACTTGGCTTAATGCCTTTGAGATCCATAAAGGTTTTTGGGTATATCAATAGGTTGTTTTGTTTTACTGTTGAGTAGTATTCTACAATATGGATATATCCTAGTTTGTTTAACCATTCACCTATTATAGAACATTTTGGTTGTTTCCAGTGTTTGTCTATTACAAGTTCATATGAACAGTCATATCTAAGTTTTTATGTGAACGTAAGTTTTCATTTCTCTGGGATAAATCCTAGTGAAATTGTGGGTCATATGGCAATTTCAACTTTAGTTTCATTAGAAACTGCCGACTTGTTTTCCAGAGAGGCTGTACCATTTTACATTCCCACTGGCAATGTATGGGAGTTCCAGATTTTAAAACAGACATGAATCATTGATGAGAAGTCAACTATAGTCTCTGAGTGGGTGCAGAACAAAGTAATAAGCAAGCTGGGAGAAGAAAAATAACTAGAAAATTATGCAGGTAAATTAACACAGAGATTCACATGATTTCAGACATACTGGCAGAAAAAACTCTCTTACCTTCTTTAAGCTGTATCCAGCATGGAAAATAATTGGAGGCAGAAGAATGTTGAAAAATACCTCTGGATCAAATGTTACCTGAAAGTTTAAAAAGAAAAAAAAGCCAATTTTTTATTTAACTCCAATTCTTGCTATAATATCTGCTTAATATTTGAAGCCATTGACTAAAGTTTGAATATTTAGAGCAAACAACATAAGTGTGAAAAATCATGGACTCATCCCAGAGGAGAAGCTATGACTCGCCGTGGACTGGCATGCTCTTCTCCCCATAACACTTTTGCTCTTATGATCTTGCTTGTGCTGCTTTAAGACATAATAAGACACAACAGATTTCATGCAATTTTGAGAACTCACAGAAACCTTCTGGCCAGTGCTCTTCAATAAGAAATAAAAACATCTTGATTTTCATCACACCTTTATAAAAGCTCAACTATAATAAAAGATGCCATCATGATTCTTTATTGACTTCCTGGACCCTCTCACAGAATCCTTTATAGACAAAAACTGTGCTAAATTTAAGTCTCTTTTGAGTGACCAGCCTTCTGTTATACTTGATGTAGCCTAAATCCAAGTCACCAGCAATCTTGGTGGCTTCCTGAACATCAGCATAAATTGGGTAACTTTAGAGGAACTGAAATTTCTTGTAGGTTTGATACAGGGAAATTACTCTGAAACTTTTAGATAGCAAAGTTTTATCACATCCAGAAAAAAATTAAGCATACTATAAACATCCTAATATTTTAAAGAATTTGTTCCTGCTGGTACATTATTCAGCTTTTGTTTTAAATCTTCATTCTAGATATTAAATGTTAACTTTCTTGTTTAGAAACTGGAAGTGTCAAACAGCTTAATTAAAGTAGAATGATTCTTTGTTCAAATGATGTTTTCTTCTTTCTTCTTGTGAAAGGTAAGTGTTCTGCAATGCAGGGGATGTCAGAATGAGAAGGAGCCTGGGATAGTACCTACCCAATATGAGGACACTGGGCCCAAAGGCAGTGAAACTTGCTGGATGCCACCAAACCCAATAATGTACAAACTAGCACAAGAGTTGTCTGACACTCAGTTCAATGCTCTTCTCATCAACCAAGCTACCTCAACATGTCTCTTTTCCCCCAACTAGCAACAATCATCCTGGTCTTGTTTGTTCTCCCATCTCTGCTTTGTGCAGCAAAATTTTAAACAGAGGGGATTTAAATAAACAGGTTTCTAAAGATAAGAGAGCAAAAGTCAGCTTTATCTTCTATTGTAACCTGAAAGATGGAAATGTGTTGGTGTCATTTCCCTTTTCCTCCTATCTTATCCAATATGAAGGGCTCAAGCTGCCATTTCCAAACAGCCATTAAGTGTGGTATTTACACTGGATAGCTTTCTCAGCAGCACTGAATTTCAGAATGCGTATGAAAACTCCATCCTTTATTATGAAGAGCTGAAAGTAAAGAGTCCTGCCGTTAGGGACACAAAAAAGGCAGTCATGTTTAATGCTCTAAGTGGAGAGTAATTTTCCTTAAGGATTAGGATAGATTCCAAGAACAACAGTAATTTAATTTTTGGAGCCCATGCTACACTCTGCCTTTAACTCTCTGCCTTGACATACCTTAGCCTTGTGCTGTATTAAAAAGGGCTTCCCACAACCTGGATCTCCCAAGACTGCTATACAGAAGGCTTCCTTCTGATAAACCTGGTCTATAAGGTAATGGAGTATACATCAATTAATACAGATCTCTTGCTTATCCTGGAAATTACCCATGCAAGGAGATGCATAATGCTTTTTCATGTGGACTATTTTGCTACCCCAACATTAAATGAAAATGCCTAGACTCAAATTCTAAGACAAAATCTTCTTCTCCTGAAGATTCATTAAGCCTTTGGCTTCAATCACCAGTAAGAGTAAGCACTCAAATATTTGTAGGAAATAGCAAAAGAACCATGAATTAAGAATTACCCTTCTGAATACTGAATAAATAAGCTAAAAGTGAAATCAATCTTATTTTAAGAAAGTAGCAATATCATCCCTAAACCACAGGAAGGTTAAAAGACATAGTAAAGAGGAGATGGTGGCTGGATAAATGAGTTGAGTGGGGACATACAAACCCATTGCATAATCAGTGGCCCATATCAGCTACAGATGCTAACAAACCCACAAAGGTCACCAGCTGAAAGGCTCAAGTTAAAATCTGGTTCTTCCTTCTCCTCATCATGAACCAAAAAGTTTCCTAACAAAATAGAGAGCCAGGAATGTTATTAATAATCCAGGAGTTTGGAAGGATTTCTCTCCACAAGGTCAAGATAAGTCAGGGAATCAACCACCATGTCGGGACAATGATGGCTGAGTGTCCCCAGCTCACCTTCCGTAGCATGTCATTTTGCTCTACGCTGTTGATCTTGCCAGGGCTGATTTCTCCTTTCAGAGTGTATTCGAAGAACTTTCCGCTGACATTCACTAATAAAGTGCTGAAGGCCCTGTCTTCCTGAGTGCAGCTGAGAGATTTGTCACGGCCACTGGTAGCAGGGGTACCATACCTCAGGATCACCCCAACAATGAGCCCTGAAAGAGAAAAAAACTCATCAGGCTTGAGGAAAGATAGGGAGAGTGTGGAAATAATGGCATAGCTGATTTTCAACAACTAAGAAACGCAGCAGTAATCTTAGAAATTGGGCATGGGTATGTATTTTAGGAGAAACTGCATGGGCCTTCAGGACTGAAAGGGTTAAGCATCCATCTATTCTGGTCTGATTTAAGTTGCTCAGCCACCAGGAAGACAAGGTGGGACAGTAACTTTGGTGGTATTATGACACTGAGAGCACTTTTTTTTTGAGTGGAGTCTTGCTCTCTGACACAGGCTGGAGTGCAGCAGTATGATCTGGGCTCACTGAAACCTCTGCCTCCCGGGTTCAAGTGATTCTCCTGCCTCAGCCTCCTAAGTAGCCAGGACTGCAGGTGCCCACCACTACACTCAGCTAATTTTTTTTTTTTTTTGCATTTTCAGTAGAGACGAGGTTTCATTACGTTGACCAGGCTGGTCTCAAACTCCTGACCTCAAGTGATCTGCCGGCTTCAGCCTCCCAAAAGTACTGGGATTACAGGTATGAGCCACCACACCCGGCTAGTCCTGTGACTGCTTTTAACACCTGAGTATGTCTCATTTCTCAGGCTTCTGGTGGAGGAAGATGTGATGACAAGCAGCAAAGATTTTTCTGGCCAGGACAGCACAAAGCAGAACTGCTGAGCTCCTTCATTTCCCCCAGCAGCATCCCCAAGCCAGTCCTGCTGCCATGTGCCAGCAAGGACCAGGCCATTGAAATTTCTAGTTGCTATAAATGTAACTTGCTTTGCCACCCATCAGATGAAAGGGGGGAAATAGAAATTCTTTTGCTTATTTGAAGCACTGGGTGTCATGGAGAAGGTAATTACACCCCTTGGGAAGTGAAATACTGCAGTGTACATTTGAGCAGTCAAGATGCAGGGGCTGGGGAGAGCTGGCTTCTTGGGGCTGTAGCTATGAGATGGCTAAGATCAACAGCTACAAGTCTGTAAGTCGTATATCCTTCTTTGTAGGGCTCTCCCATTAGGGAAAAATAAAAACAGCAAGATCATGTATAAGCATTCAATTCTGTGAATGAGGAAAGAGTGTGGTTTCCCTGAACCTCAATATGAGTCAGATGTGCTCAAGTAAAAGTGAGTGAAAGACAAAAAAAAAAAAAAAAAAAAAGCCATAAATGATTATCAGACACTATCTATAATTCTCTTAAGAGGAAAATTTCTGTTGAACAATGAGAACACATGGACAACTACACACTGGGGTCCGTTGGGGGGGAATGGGGGAGGGGCGGGGGGTGGGGAGGTGGGAAGAGATAGCATGGGGAGAAATGACAGATACAGGTGAGGGGATGGAAGGCAGCAAAACACACTGCCATGTGTGTACCTATGCAACAATCTTGCATGTTCATCACATGTACCCCAAAACCTAAAATGCAATAAAAAAATAAATAAATAAATAAAGAGGAAAATTTCAGACTTCTCTCTAAATTCAGTTCTTTGCTGGCAATATTAAAAGACAGAATGGTATATTTGCTTCCCCATCTCATTTTGCCATTAATAGAGAAAGCTGAATGAGAAAAAGAACGTTTACTGTCTTCCATGTGTAATTTTCTATAATGTGTCTTATCTCCGAGATCTGTAAGAACTCAGAAGACATTGTTGAATAGCAAATAAAATATAAAATCTAGAAAAACATAGTTCTTTAAGCCAAGATCTGTGTGTTTCAGTACTATTATTATAAACCCATATTAACAGACACTTGCAGTTTGTTGACTTGTAATAAAACAACTTGATTTTTTTTACAACTTAAAATTGAGTTTCTTAATAATCTCAATTTGACCAGTTATGAAACAATTTGAAACTCTTTAAAGGCATATAAAAAAACTAGACCTTATTTTATTTTATTTTATTTGTTTTTTGAGACAGAGTCTCACTTTGTCACTGAGGCTGGAGTGCAGTGGCTCAATCTTGGCTCGCTGCAACCTCCGCCTCCCAGGTTCAAGCCATTTTCTAGCCTCAGCCTCCCAAGTAGCTGGGGCTACAGGTGGGCACCATCACACCAGGCTAATTTTTGCATTTTTAGTAGAGAAGGGGTTTCACCATGTTGGCTAGGCTGGTCTCAAACTCTTGACCTCCGGTGATCTGCCTGCTTTGGCCTCCCAAAGTGCTGGGATTACAGGAGTGAGCCACGACGCCTGGCCCCAGACCTTCTAGAAAACATACTTGTCATTGCTAAAAAGACATAGTGCTAGCTGGTAAATGGGTCAAAAGCAGGCACTTAAAGTCTTCAGAGCCAATCTTTTGTTCAGGTCTTACTGCTGGAATTTATATTCATTTCTCCTGTCAGATGACAAACCAGATGACAGAAGAGACGGTTGGCTGGCATTGACTCAGCCCTGCTCTGCTCAGCCTTGGCAATGAACGTTCTCGCGGCCTCTTTGCCATCTTCTGGTTCAGGATTATCTGGGTGTCTGTGCTGATAACTGAAGTTGGGGGGTGCCTACACTGAATGGCTGCTGGCCTTGGGTCTTCATTACGTACTATCTTAGGTGAGGAAGGGCCCTGGAGACTTGTGGTCTGTAATCCCAATATATATTCTGTCTCACTGGCCTACCTCTTCTCCTTCACCTGGTTTTTGGCACCCTCCATCACTTGTCCCTGCACAGGAGGGTTAGAACACTCTGGTCAACGCTCACAGGGTCTCTGCAAGGGAGGAGGCATCGTCCATGTGCTATCAGGCTGGATGTCGAGGGGCACTCTCCAATCCTTCTTTTCCCCACTCTCATTGTTCTGGTAATTGTGCTGGTGACCCTGTGGAAGACCCTCATTATGCAGATAACATCTATAATGGTTTCAGCCTGCTGCATCTGTACTGCCTGGCACTGGAACTCTGGCAGGGCCTGCAATCTTTGCTGTCTGTGTACCCTTTTCTCCTTCAACATTGAACTCCACAGCTTCTCCATCCCCTATACTGCCAGGGTGCTTCCTGGGGTTGCACAGTGTCATTCCTGTGGATGAAACCATGTATATTTATTTCACGGAACCATCTTACTCTTCCCAAACCTTCACTGGGATAACCTTGTCCTGTTTGTGGGCTGCTACTCCTTCCACCTCTGCCCATGGTGTCATGCCAAGTGTCTCAGCCTCACTGCTCGTTTGCAGTCACAGTGATAGTGACTGCAGCCAGCTGTGGCAGCAGTGGCTCCTTTGCAGGTGTGATGGTAATTAGACTACTGGTAGCAATGAAGCTGTTCAGGGCTCTGGGAAGCGCTCTCTAGATGGAACTCTGTGATGCTTTGTAGTCTTATTTCACCCCTTGGTTAGACAGTTATTTTCTGATGAAGTTTTATATGACAAAGAAGACTCTATAGCCCTTCAACATTCATAATACAGGATGATCTGTAGCATCTGGAGAAGACTACCTGAAACATGATTTAACTTAAATGTTATCAGGAAGCCAAAATAAGTCATTTAGAGAAACTATCTTTCTCCTGAAAGTCAAAACCTGCTTTATGTAACTCACTGTTTTTTGACCTTTCTAACCTCATTATTAGCAGAGCTAATGGAAAGACTAAAGCATACTATCAAGGGTCCTCATGATGAATATTACTCTAACAAAAGAGGGGGTTTATGTTTGTAGGCAAATTCCTCAGTTACAGGAAACACTCTTCAACTCTCTTCCAGTAACCATCACCATCATATTTACAATAATCACCAGATGATGAATTTTGTCTTTTAAAGTCGGAAAACCTTTCCTTCTCTGCCTTGGGCCCAATGCACCCATATTAAAAATGGAAGGGAGATAGGGAAGGTGGTGATGCTGCTCCCTTGTGGTGAAAATATGGTAACACAAAACACCATAGCAGAGATGTAACGTTAACACCAGACAGTTTTTACCAAAAATATATCAAGCCACACGGTACACCACTAACTCAAGGTAGAGTTTGGGTACCTCCCCAGATATTTTAGATTCATACTTATTACCACCATATTCCATGGCATGATATTAAGTTCACATTTGCTGTTTTCCAGTTGAAGAAAGAACAGGATATTAGAACTGCAGGAGGGTAACTGGGTGAGAAAATGATAGACACTTGCAGAAAACATGAACAGCATATTTTCATCTGCTGGCTCTCAGAGACATCCTGAGAGGGAACTGTGAAGTGGTCATACCTACAAGGAATTAAAACATGATATATATATATATTTTTTTTAAGTTCAGTATTCCTAAAAAATGATGGAGAGCAACAGAGGCACTAATGATTTGACTACATCAATAGCCTAGTGTTCTAGATCACAAATAACCTACTGTGTGTTTGGGCCAGGAAAAACGGCACATAAAATGTCAACTGATAAAGAGACAATCACTGATTTCACAGGTACATTACTAATGAAAGAATTGTTTTGAACTTTTACAGAAAGCAAATATAGATGAAATTCCTTTAACATTTGATATGGCTTAAAACAAGATGGTAAACTCCAAAGAGGCAAAAATTCGAGACTGTTTCAACTCGTGGGTATGAAAAAAACGCACTTCACAATTGTACTAGCATATATACAGTTTATGTATGTGCTTATCCAAAACTTGGTAATATGACGAAGGAATACAATCATGAGAGCAAAGTATGGTTTAAAAATCCCATGGGTTCATTAAAGAAACCAGCTCCCACTGGTCTGATGCCAGTTTTCCTTTTGTGGCTGAGGCTACTGGGAGGACAGCCGAACAAGTGGACCTGATGAGTTGTAATTCTAGACAGCCATCCATCAGCTACAATATTTAAATGTCTATGTTAATAAGCCCTTGTTCAGGACGAGAACAGCTGCTTGGGTGCACTGTTCTTTAGTGAGATCTCATTTTCTCATATACAAGGTACTAAAGGTAGATGATCACCTGATCAGTTTGGCCACCACTGTGGAGTTTTTTACAGCACAGTAGGGGTTGTTATGAGTTTTAAAGCTTCATCTGAAATTCCAAGAAAAGAAAGCATCTCATTTTGCACCCAGTT